CTGTCGCTGGTAACAGCGGCGATAATTTTGCCGCGTAATTGCGAGTGGACAGCGCGAATATTCATTCGCAAGACGCTGACCTGTGTCAAGCGCCAATGTCAATGTTCGAATCGGTCACGCGTGAAATCTGAGCGTTCCGCAATCTTGACAGTGGCATCCCACGGTAAGTTTTCTCCAAACTTGCCAACTAAGATTATTGGATGTATATTAGAACCTATTATCACATGTTTAACAGAGAAAACATTTATTAAACATATATTTAATATTATGCATGTTTACAGTATGCATAATATAGTAATCACACGTACTTTTGCTTTGTGAAAACATACCCGTTTATTAACTTTAAATCCGTTTATCCTTATATACGAAGGAAGGAATCATTGTCCCTTTTCAAACAATCGTGCAGAGCTAGGAAAACAATCAGCGGTAACATCACTGCGTGTATGTATTTTTCCTTCGCATAAGTCATACGAAGTCATGTAATCGTGTAAACAGTTATTTATGTTGTTATCAAATGTATACTTTTTAAGATACATACAAGAACCCATATATTATCACTGAGAAGTATACTAGTAATTATTGACTACTTATGACTATATTATGACTATAAGTATAGTACTGCAAATCAGTAAAATTTCCCTGCAAAAGTCTATTAATGGCAGAAACATCGAAGAAATATAACAGCAGAAACAGTGAAAAAGATATTATTTATTACTTATTTTTTATTATCTTAATTCCACTCTTAACGTATTATCGATGATTTTGCGTGAAATATTCTTATAATTATGTTTAATTGATTTAATTGATATCGTGTTTGAAAAACACGCTTGTCCTGATGGGACTCGAAACCTCTTGAGTCTCTACCATATGAACTACACTAAATACGACATATGGTTGAATGCATATACGATATGTGCATGTACTTTTGCTAAGGGGCGCTTAACAGCGATTTGCAGTGAATCTTTCACTAGCCAAAATCTGATGTATTAGATAAAAGAGCTGAGTGAAAAAGTTTTTACTAAAAATTAGTGAATACTCACTGATTATCGGTAGAATACTGTTTCACTAATTAATTTAGTAACATTTTCACTAATTCAACTTCAGAGAATATGTATCACAGAATCCGTTTAAACGATTGAATATTTAGTTATATCGAAACGGTTTCCATCAGGCGTTTTTATACGCTAAACATTTAAACGTGTATTCGGAAAACAGATCTAAGCGGGAACCCTAATCCTCAACTGAAAGATATTTCAGCGATTTTGGAACATCTTGCGCAATAAATATCGTATGGAAAAAAATAATCTTAAATCAATGACAGATATTTTCATATATAAGCAAGAATATTATAATATAGTAAGAACATTTTGAGTCTTGATTTCATTAAATTTATATTAATGCAATGTATTACTTGCACTCAATTCAAAACTAAAAATCTTCTAAGAATATTATAATATTTTTGCTTATATATGAAAATATCTAGCATTGATTTAAAACTTTTTCCTGTGCGCATTCATTTTATACGTTCGCGGCAACGAGACGGAATGTTATGTCGGTATTAGCTTGATGAGTGTGCGTATGAGTGAGAGAGATTCGGTATCGGATGAAAAAAAAAAAAGGGAGAAACGCATGGTCGCTACGCCATTGGCGCGAAAATCCGCGCAAGGCATTGTGACACGCGGCCCAACATAAGTCACAATTAACGAAGGCGTTAAGTCGGGCCCCTATTAATAAGCGTCGTCGAAGCGGCCTATAAATAGTCGGCGGAGCGTGAGGCGACAACAGCACCGTCAGCGAGACGCGAAACGATGCGACGCGGCTTCGGCAGGTCGCGCGGCGCAGGAGAAGCGCCGCGTCGCTAAATGCGCCTATTTTTGCCACGATGACACATCGCCGCCGATTGGACACGATCGCGAGCTAAATAAGAGCCCTCTCGAACCCCTGGACCCTCGTCCGGCGAAGAAGTCTTTCCTCGGCACATCCCGCAACTACCCCTTGATTTCTCGCTCTTCTCTCTTGGCACGAACGCGAAAACGTATCGTGGTGTCCGTAGGTCAATTAGATATTTTCGAGATTATCTTGAATCGAGGACGTCTTGGAAGTTCTTAGAAACCGCTTGTTAATAAATTAGAAGTGTCTCAAGATCAGGTGATGATAATATTAACCCTCGAATAACAAGATCCTCGAATAACTGAGTCCATATTCCGTGCACGCGTTTATGAAGCATTATATTCCAGGTGTTTTACATATTTTGCAATGTATTTTATTTACTTGTAAATATTTCCTAACTTATTGCGAAAATAAAAAGTGCCTAGTGTCGAAAAAGTTAATTGAAAAAAGTACAAAATGCTTCGATCCACCTTGTTATACATGTGACTGCACGAACCTTGTTATTCGATGGTTAATTGCGCGTTTATAGATCTGGAAGTCCTCGTTTCCTTTACAGCTTCGGACTAATGTCTCAGCGAAATCTTCCTTATTAAATAGTTCTGCTTAAAGTCTATTAATTTTCATTATTAAGTATACTAATAATTTTATCTCGGTTCACCGAATCAGATCAATCAGACGGTACATACACGTTACGTTACCTATTTATACCTTCGTAATTTAATTTGGCAAAAAACTTAAGCGAAATGGCCACCTGGGTGCATGCGTTTTCTGCCCCTCCTTCTCCTCCTCTAGCTTGGTTTATATTTATTGGCCGCGTGTCGATCGGTCGCGTTCCTCCACGCTCAGACAGCCTTTCTCCAACGCGGCTCTCAGCACCCCCGAAGAGACATTAGAATGCGTGAATCAGTCGTGCCAATTGGGCGATCGCCCCGAGATAGGTGCGCAATTCGAACACTCGGCCGAAGTCCCTCGGGGTATCAACTAGAAACAACATCTGTACGAATTTTTAACTCTTTATTAAGCCGTTAAAAAATTTCCTTTTCTTTCCAGTACGAAATTAATTCTATATTGTTATAGTTACCGTTCAGTGAGCGGAGAAAAAGATTTTGCCGGCACAGCAAAAAGATTGGTTGCACGGAAAATATATTTTTCCCGTTATAACAAAACGTCGTTGTGACAGCGATAAAATTCAATTGACGTAATCAAATTATTTTGCTATCCATATATCTAGCAAATAGCAATTAATGCTTTTAACAAATTTTGTTTACCGTAGTAACTTGCTGTGACGGCAAAATATTTGTCTCCGTGTGTTAATGAATTAGCGCGTCCGGAAACGTCATCTGTGAACCACGCCGGGTATTCGCGATTTCGTGAAACTAAAGACACGAATTGTCAAAGATCGCGCGTCTACCGAAATTTCGAACTCCGGACGAGCGTTGCGCGCCGGTTCGTGGCGGTTTGCGCGCAAAAGTGGCGCCCGGGCGATGCGGGGACGTCCTTCTGGGAGAGGAAGAGACCGAGGATGACGCGTGGGTGGAGGATACGAGCCATTTGCGCGGCATCCGAGACGACGACGACGGTGTCCGATCGTCTCTCTGGGTGGTGCTCTCTGTCTCGCGCGTGTAGACGGGATTCCGCAAAATCTGTTAAACCGACTCGTGGGTGTCGATCCATCGCCGGGGCCGACGACAAATGAGGAAACGGCCAACTAGCCGAGTCATTTCCACCGTTTACGAGCAGCGACGGCGACGGCGACGCGCGTTACTTCTCCTCTCTATCTCGAGCCGGTGGTGTGGGAGCTAGTCCTCAATTCCCGGCAATTATAAATTATTCGTGCCCGGCGTGACTTCGCCGGAAGACACGCTCTCTCCCCCGAGGAGGATAGTTCGGATTTTCTGTGACGGAGACGCGGCCGCCCCTACTTGACCCTTTGCCCCAGACTCATTGGACGCTTTGCAACCGGGGTCACCACTTCCGAATTGTTTCACGCGTCTTGAAGGTGTACTGTTGCAATACGCAATTTCCGTTGCAGCACGGAGGAACGCGCGTCTTGAGGCCATACGTTATCCGGAGACGTATAATAGCACAAGCACGCACCGATATATGAGAAACCAAACTCAGTTCTACTTCGTCGACTTTTTAACTTCAAAATACCTGGCACTAATGTTTAAAATTAATATCTTTTAATGGTAAGATGGGGTCAGATTAACCCCACGGCTTCATTTCTTTTACAGCATACACGCGCTGTTTGTTCTTAAGGAATGTTTAATGTTATTATTTACTTCTTTTACTCATTTTGTACATTGATAAAAAATGAAGAAAATAGAGCATAAGATCGAACCCATCGGGATAACTTAAAAATCCACTGTGCCATTAAAAATGAAGAAATTCACAAAAAGTGGAGTTAATCGGTTTGTTTGCCAAGAGGCTGATGTCGTACCGATTCATTTGATAAAAATAGCTACTTTGCTTCCGATCGAGTTTTGATAAAATCCACGGTATATTTCATGAAATCTCGCAAACATTCGAGCGAGGTGTTAAGCAAGCCGGATGGAAATAGGCGCGAAATGTCCGCCGGTTAAATACAGCTTAACGATCTGGTGTCGCACAAGCCGATCTTACCTGAACCGAGACTTGGGTTAATGGTACGAGTTTCGCCGTCCCGCTCGTTATGAGGACGATATAAAGGCACACGTAACGGGCAAGGTGAAGCCCGCTGGATTCATAATGTCGTTACGCGTATATGACGAGTTCGCGTAAGGTCGTGTCGCAAAACTGGTCCCGCTTGCGACACTCGCGAAACAACCCCGAGGAATCGGTAGGGATGGGGAAATCGCCATATTTAGCGAGCATGGACAGTCGCAAAAATGCTAGAAATGTCAAAATTATAACAAATTAAACATCTTGAGACGACGGAAAGTAGTCTTAAAATTCGATAAAACCAATTTCATTATTCGCCACCTGATAATTCGTGATATCGAGGGCACGCTTTGCAACATTTAAATACTGTCTAAAGATTTACGGTAGAACGCACAGTATAAACGCACTGCTAATGAATAACAATACCTACAGTACAGTCGAAACACCTTCACATTTCCGGTTGCTTGCAGAGGCCTTGGGAACCGGAAGTTCATCATGGCACAGCGAAGACGGTGGACCCAACTCGCGTCGCGGTGGAGAGACGCCGTCCTCATGCGCGACGCCGACGTCGGCGAGTTTCCCGTCAGAACCCGAGGTGGATGCCGACGTCGGTGGTAACCCCGACGGCAACAACCCCGCCGCTCCTTACCCCTGCCAGTTCTGCGACAGGACCTTTCCTCGACTCAGCTACCTGAAGAAGCACGAACAGGTGAGAATGACAACAGGTGTTTGTGCAATTCAACAAATTCATTACAACGTTCACAGATTATACGTACAGATAGATGGTAAATATTTTATTATGGAATGTGCAAACACGAAGACAGTAAATCGCCTGCCTAGTGATTTTTTATTTACTCAGGCATTATGGCCGAATCCCGTTCGCGATGATCGTGACAGCAATCAGGAATAAACAGCGGAAATTTTTTTCTCGGGGAAAAAGAGAATCACATTAGAGCGACTGTTGAGAGCAGCGAAACTTGATTTTTAAACGTCGTGCATAAATAAGAGCTCATACTAAAAAAATTAATTTAGTTCACGGAGAAAAAAGATTCTGCTGGCACAGTTAATTAATTGGATGAAAATGTTTGACTATTGCAGCTGGAAATTTGCCACTAACTAGAACTTTGCTGTCACTTTACTGTTGCTAGGTATATAGGTGCCTGATATATGTCTACTGTAGCTAAACTTGTGGGTGTCCATATGTTACAACGGAGATTTAGCTAATGTATGGATGCCTACAAGTTTGGCTACAATAGACATATTAAGCATGACGCTTACACACCCAGCAACAGTGACTGAAGTTTTGGTTGCGGCAGCAAATTTTGGGCTATAGCAGCAAAACATTTTCAGCTAATTGGTTACGATAGCAAAATCTTTCTTTTTCATGTTGGATCTATCTAACGATGGGCAACCAAACGTGTTTTGCTTGAAGGAAATCGAATTTCTGATGATAAAGACCAAATTTTGTTCATGAGAGCTGGAAATTTTGTTCCTTTCAACTAAAACATGTTTATTTGTATCAAGTAGATTCAACTAAACTTATTTTTCGTGCCCGACGCTATAAATAATAATACAAGGAAAGAGAAATGTTTTGTGAATAAGGGTAGTGTAAAAATAATCGTGGCATCGAGTACCTCGCGTCAATTTGCGATAGCGACCGCGAGGTCAGTTGGAATATGAGAAAAGAAGAGAAAAGCTGCGAAACCAAAAAGATTCATTCGTCATGGGTATTAGTATGCGCGACGCGCAGCGCGTCGTAGAACTCTCCTCTCTTTGCGCGGTGTGAGAAAAGGTCCGAGGTGTGATTCTGCAGGTTGACGAGTCCCGTACGGGCGGGTTTCCTTCTCGCGAGTGTCCTGCGAGCGGCGCGTCCTGCCTGCCTGGAAGGCAGACGCGTGGCCGGTCCTCGGATTTTTCTGTTTTGCATGGCGGTGGCATTAGCTCGTTTCTTCCGCGTCCGAGGCCAGCGATGCCTCGACGGGTCATCATCGGGTCAGAATCTGTAGCGTCGTGCCCATAACAGGTTGTACCGGTTATCAGGTTATTCGTCCAGGTGGCGGCCGCCTTCGGCTCCTCGCTTCTTCCTCGCGACCGCGAGGAGCCCGGTGAATATACGTACGCGAGCGGAATCGCGCGCAGATATGACTCCGATAATCAAGAGTCCTCGTCTAGACTTGCTGGCTAGCTGCCTATTTATGATGACGCGCAATGTCGGCTCGTCCGGCGAGAGAAGACGGCAACTTCGATCTCCGCTGGCCATATTTAGCGAGCATCAACGTGGACAGTCGTGAAAATGCTCGAAGCTTCGTACTTATCAAGATGTTACAAATTAACCTGAGAGTAACACCCGCGGTCTCTAACCCGGCCCAACTAACATCATAGGTCTCTCAGGCCTGCATCACCAGAAAATGTAAAATCATAGTTTCTTGATTTGTTATCTTTTGTGAATTATTAAGTTTTTACCAATTTTTATTTATTATCTTCGCAGATTGATTATCGCCGAGAAACCAGTTATCTCATTGGATTAGGCTGATAATAACAGTGGTCACATGGACTCAACTTTTTGAATAATAAAGGGATAGAAGTGGGACATAACGTCTTGCACAAAATGTGGAAGAGAGGGAAGCGAAAGAAAATGCACGTAGACCTCGTAAGCCTAATATGTCAGAGTTAAACGTGTTGAAACGGCAAAAGATAGTTTTAACTCTCTAATGGTAAAGTTAGGGATTCGGTTGGGATTTCGGGCTTGACCCCACGTTCTGTTTTGTTCATTTTTCATCTAATTAATGTAAAAAATGAGTAAAGGAAGTAAATAATAACATGAAATTTCCTCCTCTGTTTATTTATAGATGAAATAGTACAATAAAGTTTATTAACTGACTTTAAATGTTTGCGGTAAAACACGTTGAAAAGCGCCTTAACGTTCTGAAAATTCACCTTGCCACTGAAAAATTAAAATTCAATGAAATCAATTTCATTATTCGGTGCCTGACAATTCGCGATATCGTATTTTGCTGCATTTAAATGCGGTCTAAAAATTCTTATCTCGAGTCTTTGATCAATCATCCAACTTTCGATGCAGTCCAAGGCGACCATCGTTGCTGCTCATTGTATTCCATGCCGTTTAGCCCGCCGAGTACACCTCGCTATCGGCGACCCGTTCAGAGTCGGGAACGGTGGTCCTCCTCCTCTACTCCTCCTACTCGGTCGTCCGAGACCAGGCGATCACTTCGCCCATCGTCCAGATTGTCTCTTCAAAGAGGCCGAAAGTCGACCGCTCGGTCTCGTCGTACGTGCCGAGCTTACCTTGTCGCGCGGCACCGTTTCGTGGCCGGCTCCGCTTTACGCGCAACGGAGCGCGGCACAAAGAAGGTGACCGTATGGGATCCTATCGGTCACCGTGATCTGGGTGGGTGACGCGTCTTCGCCTAAGAGAGAAAGAGAACGCGGTTCTCCTCCTTGCTAGGAGCTTCTGCCCGTTGGCGCGCAAACCAGGCCTCGCGTTAACTCACGTAGCGCTCTATTGAGACGTTAAACCGGTGAACCGGCGGCTGAATTGCGTCGTGCGCTCTTTTGGGCTTGAAACGCATAGTGGCGTCGAAATGCTCGAAGCGCCTTTCCTTACATAGTTAACTTTCATGGACTCGGTTCTGTGGAAATTGAAGGTAACTGATAGAGAGACGTTAGTGCGTTATCTTCCTGTGTATTGAGAGAGTGATGATATATTATATTGTTTCATCTTACTTAAAATTCTATTTTATTTTACCCATTTTATTAATTTTCTTTTATTTTATTATTGTATTTGACTATTGATGCGCGCATAAAAAGATCACACGCGCGCGGATACTGCTTTATCAATGTTATCCATTGTTACTTTTGCGCTTTTGTTTGAAGCTGAAATTGTAATCACGTGAGTTGATATTGTAAGTGAAGACACATTGATTGCAGAGCCACGGCGATCAGATGCCGTACCGATGCAGTTGGTGCGCCAGACTGTTCAAACACAAGCGCAGCCGAGATCGTCACGTGAAGCTGCACACCGGGGACAGGCGATATCGCTGCTCGCATTGTGAGGCTGCCTTCTCCAGGAGGTAAGCGTGAAATCTTATCAGCGCTACTCCCGCGGCACCTTATCGTAGGCATGTAATCGGATATGCCTTTTGCCCTTTGGTCGAATGTGCGAAACGATCACTCACATCGCGTAGTTCGCGTGAAACTTTAGCAACCACCCTCGCAACCCTGTAACTTCGTTCTTTCTCATTTATCGATGAAAAATGGATCTATGAATTATTATGAAACGCGTACGATCCGCGGGCAAAGACAGTTTTGAGTCTGAAGTTCATAAACCACGTGTTTCAGCTAATTCGAGTTCAAATATTAGTTTTACGTTAAGTCTTCATTAGGTCTTCTATTGTACTCCTTTGATGCTACAAATGGGAAGATTATTGCCGTTTTCTCCATTTGAAGACTTAATGTAGAAGTAAAATTTCGGCTCGGGACACTTTGATAAATGGAAGTCATATGGCACGTCATATGGAAAATCGGCACAATTCAAACAATGTAATTTTCCAAGGCAATAAAAGAAATAAGATCTCATTAAAATCAATTATAGCCATCAATGCTAACAGTTAATCAACAGGTTGAGGCGACACACGTAAATATTAAAAATTGAAATGTATCATTTTTCTTCGTTGTGAAAAATGTAATCTTATATATCTTTCTATGATGTCAACTTAAAACCGCACATTTTTTAATCGCTGTTAATATTATTATGTGGAAGGATAAAGATGTCCATCATGTATCGCGAGCCGTTTCAATTCCTAATTGGCCATTTAATACATGTATCTTTACCTTTATTCAGGAGTTTAATATTTTAACATTTTTTAGTCGCATTACTTTCCCATATTCGTAATTTATTTACTTTACATCTGAGATCACCGAGTAACTTAAATCCGCGAGAAAGCAATCGTTCGTGCACTTTATTCGAAAGCTCTGCCGAAACTGACCTACGCAATTGCGTCGTAAAGGGCGACGGCTTTAAAGGCCGAAATCTAGTATCTACAAGTATTGAAAATCTATACGTAATTTCTAGTATACATAACATTAACTATGACTGTAAGCGCACAAATAGCGCTGTGCGGCCAAAGAGAAAAGAAATGAAGAGTGTGAGAGAAGTTCGTTTATCGTCTCTCCGAAGGCGCGAGCGGTAACCGCATTTGTAAGAGCGAACAGTGAACGTGTTAATAAGGCTTATCAATCGAGATGCGCGAGAAAGAAACAATCGGCGAACGCAACAGATGGTCGAACGGGGCCCTCGACGGGGCGCTGCCGGTTGTAGCTCGCGGGCCCGACGGGGTCCCTCGACCGATTCCAGAGGACCCCGATCCAACGGGTGACAAATGAGTAATGATCACACGACGACCGCGGCCCCGGGTGGCATTAGTCAAGCTTACTCTCTTACGTGGCTGTTTCTTTCTCTTCCTCACCCACTCGCCCTTCCTCCTCTCTCTTCGACTATCTATTTGTTTTCCCCTTTCTCACGCGGTACCCTCTCGTACCGCGCTCAGCATTGAGTCGTCTCGCGCATTGAAATGCTAAGCTGGCCCGAGCAAGAGCGAGGTACCTTTTTCGTGTCTAACTGGAGATACACGCGTGTGTGCATACGTATGTACGTGTGCAGGCCCCCGCGGGGTCCAGGTGAACGGACAGGTAGGACGCATAGGTGTTACAGGACAACAGGTAGAACATTAGTCAAGCGCCTCGTTGCCGCTCGTCCGCCTTCGCCGGCCGTTAAAGTCGCGCTCACGACCGCGCCGAAACCGCAATCGAATGGCCACACGTGTCTGAGCGGTTCATCTCTCGTGTCAATCATCTTCTTTGCGGGAGATACTGGAACCTAAAAGTCTGAAATTTTATATTAAAGAGAGTGAGAATCACGAGCCAAATTGTCGAGGATAAAATCGGAGAGAAGAGGTAGATGTTGTTTATTAATTCTGTTGTTTTGCATGATTACGTCGTTAATTAAAATTAAAGTTATCTCATTCATTTCTGATTAATTTTCCAATTTTACAGCATTCTTTGTTCTATCACGCGAAGTTTCATTTTTTATTTATTTTAAATAGAAATAAGGAAAGTAGCTTGGCGGTATTAATTGTGATGAGAAAGTTGTCGGGGCATAATTTCGAAGAGTCCAAGTCGCGGAAGTCTTAACAAAGACTTTCTCTTCACCTGTCAGCCGCTATTACAATCGTACCGCCAGATCTTTACGCCACGTCTCTATTCGTCCTCTCACTTTAGCAGTCGGTTTGGGTGACCCAACAAAAGGGTGAAAATCTCCGTGGTTCTCACATCGAGTATGAATTTTCTAACCTTTGGCAAAAAGTTCCACTGTTTCACAATTCTAACAGTATGCGCATAGTTGTGTATTATTCGTTAGAGAAGGTTTTTAGAAGTCTGAAAATCCCAACGCGCGAAGTTAAAATATATTCGATGAACTATCATTGTAGTTTGGAATTTATACTTGGTTGAGAAATAGAACTAGAAGAAAAAGAGAAAGAGACAGAAATTCCTCTTTAAAAATAAATCACGACGATCTAGTGGAAGATTAATCGTTTAACATATCTTAGAAAACAAACTAAGATCGCGTGGAATTGATACCCCTATGTTGATGTCCGTTTAGCTTGACCGGAACCAATCGGAGGAATTACCTACTTTGAGAATAACACCTCGTCATGACGATGTTTTTCTCCTCACGGAATGCGGTAGCAAGATCGCATTTTACGGTAGTCCCGTAGTTCTCATGGTCTATCGACACCAATGCGAAGTCATGACTCGACCTCTTGATATTGACAAAGATCCCCAGCCTTTTTGTCGGCGCGTCTTTCCGGTTGGCATCTCCTATATTAGTTTCTTGCACTAATCTGTTTTCGATCGACAGAGACAGCGTTTGTTCTGAAGAGACGTGCAATTTCTTGCTGCACGATGAAGATAACCAAACATTGATACAAGCAGGAAATGGGAATCGTTTCTCTATTCCGCGTATGAAGTGCATTAATAAAGAAATTGAGATATTTCACGAAGTAAAATAGAAAATAGAATATCACCTAACAAATGGAAAGTCGTTTTGAAAATAGATGACCGAACGCACAGAGAACAATTTTGCTGGAACAGCATATTGTTTGTTAATATAGTGCCAACAAAAAAATTTGTTTCGACAACAGAAATTTGTGAAGAATATTAATTGCTATTTGTTGGATATATGGACAGCAAAGTAATTTGGTTGTTTCAATTAAATTTTATCACAATGTCGCAATGACGTTTTATCACAACAGCAAATTATTTTGAACAAGTCTTCTTATTGTTACTATATTAACGAACAATTTACTGTCCCAGCAAAACTTTTTTCAGTGCGTATATAAAAGCCAAGTATCAGATGATCGCCTTTTGCCAAGCAAATGACTACATATTCGCGGCTTTACGGATAAATGAAATTTTCAAGATTGACGAGATACGATTGCGGGGATCGAGCACGTCAACGCGCCCACCCAAATTACAGCGATAGGGTTTCTTCCGACTTTTAAGGGTGGGGGAGTTTAACGGACCATTTATTTCCATTTCCTTTCATCACCCCAAACGCTCTTCTTCTTGCGTGAATGGCAACTCGCCATTCGGTTCCACTTCTGGCGAACATTGAGCATTCAGAAGTCGTTATGAAAATTGTTAGATCGCATAAATCAATGAATATATACGGAGACTGTGACTATTTCGAGGTGTGCCCTCTTCTGACGATAATAACTAACTTTATGCAATTAACTGTTTTCTTTTACAAACTAATATTCAGAGCTTCAAATCGACGGTGAATCGCTAATTTCGTAATGTAATTCCAAAATAGATGTATCACGACAGCTAATAATATATGACAGAATATTGAATATTATCAAATGATTTCATTTTTCCGATTTCTCGCCAATTTTCAAAAATACAATCGAGCTGTCTTATTTACTCCAGACGAGAATAAAGTGACAGATCTGCACTGGCCGGAATTAAAATAAAAGATATGTATACATGTAATCTTGAAAAGATCAAGAGGAAAGGAACGAAAGAGACTCGAGCCCGACGAAGCTATTATTTTATAATCGTTCGAAACGACCTCGCGGTCACCCCCTGTTCTCATCGAGGCTGAGACGACGTCGGTAACGCCGCGGCAGTAGCGTCAAAACAGGAATACGCAGTCGTCGCGAGTAGTATTAATACCGGCTTGACCGGCGGACTCGTCGATCCATTCTCTTCGTTAAGCAAGCGCGAAGTGCGCGCGCGACGTCTCGCTTTTGAGACTTGTCCTTTTTTGCTTTTTCATCGCCGGCCGCAAACGATACGCTCGATAATAGGACAGCGGCGCGCACGGTTCGCCGGGCGATAATCCTGGCGCATGAATAATTCAGGCGCAAAGTGCAGGAGTAAATTCGCCGTCTGTCTTCGTTTCGGCGCGCGAGCCGAGACAGCGACGCGTTCTTCTCGCTCGGACCGCGGCTGACCTCGCCTTACACGCGGATTCAGTTTTCCACCACCTCGGTGGACCAACACCGGCGACGATGAATTATTCATTCGGGTCCACACCGCGAGGATCTCGCCGGCGAGTCGTTATCCGGCCTCAACCCGTTCGAAATCTCTGTGCCTTTCTCGCTGATAGCCGACGAACATATCGGCTTCGTTTATCGGCACCACGCGACACGAGCGAGGGGGAACAAATGAACGAAGAAGGGAGACGACGACGAGGAATTTTAATTGAACGTGGGAGATTAGGAAATCTCAAGCAGTACGTGCGTCGGTTGCATTTGTCCGCTTGGACGGGTGAGACGATTGCAACGAGGACGTCTCGCGAATTTGAGACCTGTCAGTCTCGCCGGGTGTATTGCTGATTGAAGTCGACTTTTGCGGCGAAGACGATGAATAATTTCCCACCTCGTAAGTTGGGAGAATGAAGCGAGCATCCGGTTCGGTCGGAGGTGAATTAACTTCCAGCTCTGCGTGGTTGATCAGCGGTAACACGGTCGTCCAGCGAAATAAAAACTTCGAGTCTAATGGAATTATTTACGGAACAATTCGAATAGTTTCTTTCTCTCTCTCTCTCTCTTTCTCGGCCATGTTTTTCTGCGAGAAAATGCAAAAATCAACGGTACACCTTCGTTCCACTTTCTGCTCTTGATTCTCTCCTCGTCTAACGCCAGCGGTGGGAAACATACACGTTAGAAATAATTGATGTCAAAATGCAGTCTCGCTATTGCAACGGGAAATAATGATTTTTCATGCGATATTTGTGCGCATTTAAAGACGGGAAAATCGATACGACTGAAAATTCGTAGATGCGCCGATATATAGCTTCGTCTATTGGAAGTGGATGTGGCGGTAATGTGCGCACAACCACAGGAAGAATGATTTCAACTAGAGTTCTGTCCTCTCTCGATGAGTTATTTATTTATTCTTTGCGCGGTGGAAATGTCATCGCGCTTAACATGTTCACATCGTCGCGATGTCCCTCTGTACCTAAGTAATACATCCAGCACTCCATTAGGAGGACACTTAATTAGCACCCGAGGAAGATATTTTCAAGCAGGTTTCGGCGAGGGCGAATTCTCGCTGTCCGTCTTCATTAAGTTTTCCACATTGCGCTCTTAATCGAGCCGCCGCCGTTTAATTTCTCGTCTGGTTTGACTTGTCGATCTTTTTAACCGAAAATCCGATCCGCGGCGTTAGTTGGCTCTCTCTCTCTCTCTCTCTCGGAGTATCTCGCGAAACTGATCTGAAGTTAACGAATCGTCGATAAATTAGCCGATCGCGAAGCCACGTTTATTATTAAAGAACACGCGGCACCCGATGCCACTTTTCGTCAGCGAACTTCCGTGCTGGAAATCGGAATATATCTACGCTCTCGCGCGAGAGATGAATCTATTTCTAATTATGATTGGCACCGCGACTTCTGATGAAGCGTGAATATACACGAACTCGTTACATGTTACAGGAAATAGAATTGCTTAAATTAGATCCGACCGCTGCGACTATGAGAAGTAACGCAAACGTTTTAAATGTCCGTCCAGTGCCAGTTGCTTGTTCTGAGGTCATCCATTTCATATGATTGTATTTTCTGGCGTATGGGCGAATAAATTTCAAATTGATTTCATTTCATTGAAATAGATTTTATCAGTTATTAAATGTTGTCTTTATTTCAAGTAAATTAAGATTGAATTTCATCGAATAAGTGAACGTTTAAATAATGCTTTTGGGTCATATAATCTTTTTACTAAACGATTATCTTTGTTATGTGGATACATTTCCAGATGGAAAAGACACTTTGAATTATTTTAATCCTCAGATTAAACATCACTTAAAACTATCCTCATTTTTACTCTACGTGGTTTGTTCAATTTCCTATCTCGACATATCCACATCATTGTCGATCATTGTCGACGTGATTTGATCACATATACGGAGAGAAAAATATTGTAGTAAAAATTACCACAAAATTTCGTAATGCTGGACCATACCGGAATTATAACTGAAATTATTATATATACTATCATTAGTGATGTATACATAGAGAAAAAATTGATCTTAAATCAAGAATAGATATTCTCGTATAAGCAAGAATTTGATTGAATTTGTATTGAAGTAATATGTATGATATGCAAGTTTTACTTGAAGTTAATTCAAGACTAAAAATCTTCCAAGAAGATTATTCTTGCTTATACATGAGAATATCTATTCTTGATTTAAAACGAATTTTTGTTTGCGTGAAATACATCACCAGAGATTACAACACATCTCAGTCGTAATTCCAGCATCGTTCCAAAATTGGATGATAATTTTTACTAGAATATTTCCTCCGTATAGCTCGATCATCTCTGTCGAACATGTTTTCCATTTTCCAGCGATCACCTGAAGATCCACATGAAGACGCACGACACGCAGAAGCCTTACCAATGCACCGCCTGCTCGAGGGGCTACAACACAGCCGCGGCGTTAACATCGCACATGCAGTCCCACAAGAAGCACCATCAATCGTCCTCTCAGCCAACCGGCAAGCTTCACGACGTCGATTACGGCAGACGGAGCGTCTCCTCTCACAGCACGTCGTCGCCACCGGTGCCAAGCTCGCCGTCACCGTCCCTGAATCTCGGCCTGAGGAAAACTTCTCAGGGCAGCGCGTCCACCACGCCCGTGCTGAGCTCCCCCTTGAAACTGACCTGCATGTATTGCACCAAAGACTCCTTCAGTTGCATGCAGCAGTTGCAGATGCACGTGCACTCGATGCATCAGGCGATTCTGAGCGGCGAGAGTCTGACGGTACCGCCGTCGCCGAGCGGGCCGAACGAGCAGGTTACCCCGCGCGACAAACCGCTGGACGGCTCGTCGTCGAAGGACGACCGGAAATACCCGGAGGATCGCGAGAGGGACCACTACGAGAACGCCTTCACGTGCAACCAGTGCACGATGAAGTTCTCGACGCTGGGTTGCCTTCGCGACCACTTGCTGTCGATACACCGGCTCGGCGCATTCGGCGCGGCTATGATGATGTGCCCGTTGTGCGGCATCCCGTGTTCCTCCGCGGCCACCTACGCCGAGCACTACGTGCTCCAGCACTGCGAGAATCGTCGGACCGTGCCGACGGAGTACGGAGAGCCGAAGGTGAACGGCGTCTACGACGGTGTCGCGAGGCTGCAGAGGAACAGAGACGTGCCGGCGGACCTCACGAACAAACACTCCGCCAGAACCGATTCCGGCTACACCGCTGGTACGCTTCTGTGCGGCCAATGCGGCGCCGCTTTGAAGGACTTCGAGTCCTTCCGGGAACACTTGGCGCGGCACCTGCAAGCTGATCATCGCAACGAGGTGTCGAGACACCCGTGTCCCAAGTGCGAAGCGAGCTTTCCCGACCGCGAAGACATGCTGAACCATCTGATCAAGCACTACCTGGGCCAGGTGAGCAAAGAGTACGCCTGCGGCGCCTGTAAGAAGCTCTACCCGCATCCCGACCTCCTTCAAAGGCATCTGCTGGACAGCCATGCGCACCATTTGTACCGCTGCGCTCTGTGCCGAGACACATTCGATTCCCGGGTGGCGATCCAGGTGCACTTCGCGGTGAAGCACAGTCAAGAATGCCGGATCTACCGGTGTAGCGCGTGCACCTTGTCCAACAACGAGAACTCGCCGGGGAACGCGCCCGGCGAGGGCAGGAGCTTCTTCAGGAGCGAGGCCGAGATGGCGGCGCACGTTCGCAGCGTGCACGCGCCACCCGCCGCCCACAGCAGCCCGGGGTTGGCGAGGAGCCCCGCCTCGACACCGGGTATTACCGCTGCGGCACGCTGCGTCTTCTGCGGCATCTGCTGCAACTCGGAGCTCGAGCTGCAGCTTCACCTGGCCAGTCACTCCGCCAGTCTCTACAGGTGTCCTATCTGCAAGGAGGGATTTGCAGTGGAGTTCCTTTTGGACAGGCACGTCGCTCAGGCGCACGCGGGGGACCATCAAGCGTCCGTCAGGAGCAGCTCGAGGGAGAACGGTCGGGTCCATCGACCGGTCAGAAGTCAGGAGGAGGTGAGCGAAAAATCATTCATGGAATGTTGTTGCAACGGTAACGTTTTTTAATATATCACTCAACGTATTAGAAATAACTTCAGATTTTTGCAATATTCAAGAGGATTATATATGTTTCTGAAACATTTTTAGAATATCAAGTGAAAAGAGATACGCGTCAAATTTAAAATAAATTTTAACACATCGATCTAATATTTTTTGTTTGCTGCACGGAAAAAAATAGTAGAATCAAGTAAATGTAATTACCTATTTTTCGGCCTCTTCAATCGAATAATATCAATTTAAGTATTATATATATTTTAGTAACTTGTAATAAATACTTACTTGACCGCAGTAATATAAAATATTGAATTGGAATAACGAAAATCACAATGATTGGTATACTTCGATTAGCACTCGTTAGAAATATGTTGAATAAAGAGAAATAATTTAAAGCTAGTTAATGACCTTGAAACTCAATATTTAAATAGCGCTGCTAAACGATTTATTAGATAAATGCACTATCTATACACACCCACATGCGCGCGCGTACGATATATCGGCGGCTTCTGATTGCACCTAACGAATTAATCAACACCGCAACTCAATCGATTACTCTTTGATAGATCATTTCTCTCTTATCACCAACAGCTGCACATTCGATGATAGTAAATGGTCTGTTTAACTATGCTGATACCTCTTCCCCTATACACGTATTAAATTACAATTATGAAATAAAATTATCAGCGCGAAACACAATCCTATTCCGCAAATTCCAGTCGAAATCTTTGAAGAGAGGCCGCTCGCCAGCGTCGAGCAACAATAACTCCCTGAATCAACGCGACAACAATAACAAGCGAGCAAACTTTGGCACTTCCGGCGGCCAACAGTGCGAACTCTGCGAGCGTGGCGAGTTCGCGAACGAGGCCGAGCTGCAGGCGCATAAGAAACTAGTTCACACGCCCTCCAAGTTGGCCAACAAGGGCTTACCTGCCCTGAGCATGACCTGCGCGTACTGTGGCGAGGTTTGTCGTTCGCGCAGCGAACTCGAGTCGCACACCAGGATCCAGCACGCGTCCAACGAACCCGGCGGACGTCACAAGTGCAACATCTGCGACGAGGTGTGTCCGTCCGGAGCGACCTTGGCCGAGCACAAGCTCCAGAAGCACTGCAAGATTCAGCTGAGCGACACCTGCGTGGTGTGTCGCGGTTGCCTCGCCTCGGAGAGCCAGTTCCTGGAGCACGTGCAGAGGCACAGCCTGGAGAACGTGGATCCGCAGCAACGGTTGGATAACTCGCTGCCTCACCTGCCGGCGCCGTGCGTGGTCTGCCGGCAGACGTTGATCAGCGATCTGGAGTGTCGTCTGCACGCCAGGCACCACTTGAGAACGTCGTCAGGGTCGCGCAGCGACGGATCCAGTCCGGCGAGTCCCGCCGCTAAGATCCAGAGCCCAGGTTGCTGCCTCTGTCTGCGGGACTTCGCAGCGGACGACTTCGTCAGCTTGCCACCCAACCATGCCAGCGGAGGCGGACAACCGCTCAGGGTCTGCAAGTCCTGTTACGTGCGACATTCTCAAGGACTTCCTATCCTGAATTCCACGTACGAGCAGCGAGCCAAGTACGAAGCGGCGTGGCTCGCGAGCAAGGACGCCCAATGGGACAGTTCCAAGGATAAGTTTCGGGAGAATGAAAGGGGACTTAAAGCGGAAGGAAGGAAGGAAGGGAATGCGGATAACAAACGCTGCGAGGAATGCGGGATCAAGTTCGAAGATCCTGAAGAGGCGGAGAAGCACAAAATAGCTGAGCACGAAAAGGCAATGATGACTCGACATATTCTTTTATTCAACGTCAAGTTTTCATGTTTTCGAGAAAAAATGTCATTTTCTAAGAAAAAATTATCATATATGATCTAAACAACTATCTAAGAGACATCTCAAAGACGTCCTTTAGACATCTTAAAAAGATGTCTTTACGACGTATTAGACGGACGCCTTAGGCCTGGTTTTTCATTTTCTGCAATTTAACTTGATGAAAAATTCTGTTTTTCTAAAAGTAACCATTATAAAACCATCAGTTTAAGAAATCAGTTTGAAAAAATCATATTTTTGTAAAAGAAGATAAACATTGAAATTCCCAGGTGTCCTGTCCGACCGAAGCCAAGGTCCAGCAACATGTGAGAAAAGAGCACTTGGAAATTTCCGCGAAAGTCTCATTGGAAGCTTTGCGGTGTCATTTGTGTTTATTCGAGGCCACCAGTCCTTTGCAGTTGCAAAGTCACTTGATAGAACACACGTTTGCCGGATGTCCTGCCTTCAATTGTTACATCTGTCAGGCGCTTTTTACAGCCCCTATTGGCCTTCAGGTAAATGAACGATCATAAGATCCATTCATTCACAAATGCGACGATCGGGAAAAAGTACAAAAATCATGACAAACGGGTAAAAATATTCGCAAGAGACAATCCTCCGGCATTCCATATTGAATTGAAAAAATTCGTCTCACTGCTTAACTTTCCGAGCGAAGATTCGAATAAGAAATGCGCGTTTCATGAAAGAGCCTCTTTCCATGGCATAAATTGTTTTCGTATCTTGTTATTGCGCTGTTTTCCTGTTTACGTTCTTACCACAACGAAGAGGTTCCTCCAACCATCGATAATTTTGTCGAATGTTAACGCGAATCGCTTCGCAGAATCACATGGTGCAAGAGCACGGCCTCGGCGCGCGACCGTACGATTGCTCCAAGTGCACGCTCAAGTTCTTCTTCACGACGGAGCTGGACCACCACGTTCTGACCTTCCACCGTCCAGGGGAGAACTCTTCGCCGGGCGAGAACGAGACGAAGGAACGCGACGGCAACGTGGCGGTGAAGGAGGAAGTGATGCAGGTCGACGAGGAGGAAGAGGTGAACGTGGACGATCGGCAAGAGGAAGAGGCCTCCGGACGTCACCGGGACGAGCGGAAGCTGAAGACGGAAGTCGACAGTGAGACGAGCACCGGCAAGGCGGAGTCGTGACTTCTTTCAAGAACAACCGAGAGACAGTCGATGTTAAGTTTCCTTCCGATCTAGGCTTAGTTAATTCTTGGGAATTCGTTGGATAAATTATTAAGTTTGTTATATCGCGCTCTCTCCGTGTAGCACGCTGTTACACTCGGATATTGTGTTGACGTTTTCTACGGCGGTTCTCACACGATTACATTCTCTCCTCGTGCAGGATTCCAAACCTGCCGGAACATAGTCGGTGCACGATGAATGCAATAATTTACCGGAGCGGCGTCTTCTGTAACGAAGACCACGGCACATCGATGCACAATTTGCCACACTGTATTGTAGTAGCATCACCATATTATAATACCGCCGCTATACTACCGCTACTGCTAACAAGAAATCGACCGGAGAGTAGGCGATACTGACGAGAAAACGATCGAATATCGTCCTCGGTTATCCGGCCTACTACGCGCGAAGATCCTCATTGCGAATGGCATCGACTCATATCGATAATTGCGAACTTAGCGAAGTGTTACGAGACGGCTGGCCAAAATTCCGACGGACGTCTATGTGACGTCTGAGAGATTGACACGCCCTTTAGACGTCGGCATTACTCGTCCGGATAGATGATGCTCTTCCCGAACACGTTGCTCAAAGTTCATCGACGATCTTGCGAACAGCGCCGACGAAGTTCGATACAGTATTAATTAGACGAGAAATTCGACCGCTCATACTATTCATCTCAGATGGTTAGTTTTTTACGCATTGATAATAGGAACTTTGATATAAGACCGCGTGACACGCGGACAGGAAGGTGGTATCTCGACTATCGTCGAAGCGCCTTACCGATTCCCGGTTAAGTCGAGTGCTTTTTACGTAACGTAGGTGCGTTCGTTTGCATTAAGTTTGACGAGATTATGCGGTATTTATTTATAGTTTCTCAAACGGATAGCTTTAGGATTACAATTGTAACCGCGAATACAAGTCCCGATCCCTTGGTACGCGTTCTTTTATTCTACTGAATTTCACGACGATGATGCGACCGCGCGCGAGTGTCAGCTGGCTACTCTACCAAAATTCGTCTGACTGCCAAAATGAAAGCAACGTACGCGAAACGTGTACATTTTAAATGTACACGCATATTGTGCATACATATACAATATATACAGGTCTCTTATAACGCTGTTAAATTTATGTTATATACGTTAACGCCTAAGTTTCGGAAATTTGTTCTAAAGAAATTTCCTATGTTTCTATGTACTAGGTAAAGCATTGAAAGAATTATGTTTGCAATGTTGGATAATTATCATCGTTTTCATTGAGAGAAAAAAGTGGCTTTTGTCGGAGACTGAATGTCGAAATAATTTCGCCAGCAGCACTACAACGATATCGTACAATTAGATGCTTGAAAGTTGCAACTTTCTTTATATCAGTAAGTTTCGCCTCATCCTGCATCTAATAGGAAAATATATCTCCTGAGAATTTCTAAAAAACAAATGATCTATTCTTTTTAGCTGAACCGGTTGCACTGATTAAAAAAATGTATGCCTGCCGAAGCGTGAGTCTTGTACGTATGTTTCATACATTTCAATGTGTATGTAAATTTCTTATACTAGTGTAGCCAGTTTAGCTAAAAAGTACAGGCAAAATTGTTCTGTCGCAACACGAGTTGCGTTGGCAAAATTCGTCGAGTGTTGCAACATTTAAACATCTGATTGTATATACAGTTACACCAGTGACCGTATGCAAAAAAGAAATTTTCATAATATCGTTATTTAACACCAGCATTACCACTATTACTATTATATTATTGAATATTGATATGCATATTATCAAATTAATCAGTTTTATGGCACATTCGTGATACATATTTCATAAAAAAGATCACAAAAAATGATATTGAAGTTCGGAATTTTACAATTCATTATGGTCGTGGTCTTTTTAAAACGTAAAAAAAAAATACGCATGAGCCTGCCCCTATAAGTCCTTGAGCGTATTCAAAAAAAGTTGCAAATTAATATATATGACGTTTGATGGAAGGATCAAAAGGCGACAGGAAAATAAAAAGCACGCCGAAAAAGAGAAGGTTAGGCGGAACTTTCCCAATTCCAAATCCTGAAAAACGACATGTGCGACGGTGGGTGAGAGAAAGGGGGATTTGTCGGTACGTCGCACGTCCGTCCCTAAATCCTTCCATTATAAGTGAGTAAAGGGGAATTTATCGTAAATCTCAGAGCAATCAGAAATTCATTAATTTATCATTTACTGTGCAAGAAACGCAACATATATTTTCACGACAGTTCTATTTCCAAGATTAAAGGGAATTGATTTGATTTTGCCAAGATATTTTTCGCACGACATAATCCTAATTTGATCAACCTGAATTGAATAAATTTAGATTTCAATTACTTCTCCCCATTCGTGTAAATGTTTGATTGCTCTGAGATTCACATTAAATCCCACCTTCTTCGCGTTTAATGGAAGGATTTATAGGCGAATGTTTGACACACCGACAAGCTCACCCTTCTTTCACCCGCTGTAACCGATGTCACTTTTCGGGATATTTAGAATTAAAGACACTCTCTTTTACATTAGAAATGTAGACAATGGATGAGGGTGAGAAACTTATCAAATTATACGGGAGATTTACTTTCATTGAAAATCTTTCTATTAACATATTTCGTGCCGCACCAAATTTACTTTTCATTCATACCACCGATGAATCACGTTATGTTTTTATATCTGTTAAATAATATGTGTCTTATAATATTTATAAGAATATATCATAATAATATTTTGTCTTAGAGCCAAAATATGTAAGTGAAGTAGCCTAAACGGAAAATTTAACGTAAGTCACAAATTCAAAATGACGTCAAATGACGTCTTAATAACATCTTAGAGCCTTAGCAGCATAGTTGATTTATAATTTTAAGGCAATATTTTATGCTCTAAATCTTTATCTAAATGATAATTTGTTTATTTTCTTTATTATACGACAGTATGTCATAAATTATAAACAGATTAGCTTTTTAGTTTGAAACTAAAGACAACCCAGCTAAAAATGTGACGCCAAATGATGTTTTAATAACGTCTCCAACCGTCATTAGGGAAGATAATCACTGTGCGTTACTTAAGACAAAGGCTTAAGGCTTATCTTAAACCGATAAGTAAGCTATTCTGCCAAGACCCTTAATGACGTCTCTAACGTCAACTAGACGTCATTAAAACGTCATTTGACGTTACCTTACTATTTGGAGATAACTCACACAGTATGAAACGTGTTAAAATTGAAGAATTTAACAAAAGAATTCATTGAAATTTTCATCGAAAAACAAACTTATCAAACGGAGAAATATGCTTACTGATTGAAATCTAAATTCATTAAAATTTAACTAGACAAATTAAAATTATTGGCTGTACAAAATTACTATATGACATGAGTAGATAGTAAAATGTTACTTTCGGACCAACCGGATTGAGAAAAAAAGTCACCCAAAAATCATCAGAAACCATCAAAATCGAGGTATAAATATCTCCAAAATCGTAAGAAAAACAAAGAAAAGTCATTTCCCAATCGTTATTGAGAGATAAAAATGTTTTTATACTTTTCTGGATCACTCGGGAAAGATTCAAAATCAAGCAAAATCATTTCAAAAAACAAGGTTTTAAACCTTAAAAATCCACAAAAACAGAAGAAAAAAAAGTTGGAAAAAAGGAAAAGGAGATTAGAGATCTCAAAAACAGAAGGAAAGGAAGATTGACGATTTCAAAACTCAAAATTTCCATATTGAACATAAGCTAATAACTGCTAATATGGTATATTATCACTCAAAAAACTCTATTCTTAATTAGACACATCTCACATTTAGGCCAACAAAATTGTCGAATGCTTGAGAATGTCGCGTTGTCTGCATGTTAGAGGATGAAAACTCGTTGTTGTTTCCAAATAAGGTACACTATATATTTACAAAAATATCATCAGTAAATAGTAATATTTTACTATCTACTGACATGTGAATATATTGCAAAACTGATTAATTTGATAATGTCGACGTTCAATTACACACAATACCGATATTATTGAAAAGTAAGGTAAATGTATACTGATGCACACATCGCTCGATGACGTCACACTGATATTCACATAGAGATATTTTATGTCGATTATTATATAAGAGTGGAAAATACTGATATGTAAACGATGATCCTTTTTATGTCGGTTTTAGCTGAGTGTTTCGTTGTATTCTATTAACAAAATAACTTTGAGATACCCACGGGTTTTTTCTGTTTATGTTATTTTGAAAATCTCCTTTCAGAAAGATTATAAATCACTTTCTTTCGCATAAGCACGTAAAACGTGAACATATTTTAACTTGGAAGTATTTGAAAAAAACTTTACGATACACACATTGACAATGGGAAAGATTTGTGGTCAGTTTCATAATAGTTACGTTAAAAATGGAGATAAAAAGTGAAATGGGTAAAGGATTAAAACCTGTTGCACCTATTGTGCTGACACTTCCTTTTTTAGAAATTCAAGTCCTTAGGACGCAAAAATAGCGCGATCCTACAAAACGCCCCCATAGTTTCGTTAACCAATTATAGATGTTGGCTTTGATAAAACGACAAGTGAATGATGAAAAACCGTTGCATTAGGTGGAATTTTTAAAAATTCTTTTTGTTATAACAGAAAAAATCGAGAAGTAACAGAGAACAACCGAAATTGTCCCGTTAATCGTTTACAGATGTCAAGCTCGATGAGCTCATCTTTGTCTTTGTCGCGATCAGAATGTGTAAATACAATAGTGGAAAGTGCACTATGAATATTCTATCGATTTACTAAGTGATGTGTAAACGACGAAATTGCCAGTATCTAATGAGGAGACGCAATAATTTGTCCACTAGGCATAGCGATAAGATATAATTATGTGCGAAATAAATTATTGTTTCGAATCGAGCCGGTCGCACATACTGTATATAATAACCTGTCCATTAGGCGTGTAGCCATCCAGTAAGATATTATATACGAATAAATTATTGTTTTAAATCTCTCTCTCTCTCTCTCTCTCTATCTTTCTTTCGACTTATCGTAGTCATTTCGTCCATTTTTCTTCCTCGACGCTGTTTTACGCCAATAAACGTTATCATCCACCGTGGTGTATATATCATGTGTATAATCAGAAACGAACAGTTCACTCGAATCAACGTCAAAAATCTAATATCGAAACTTATATTCGACGTCAAAACGTATAAATATAGATGTGTCTTCGACTGCAATTTTATATCGTTTATTAATTCAATATCGTTTCAATTAATTCAACGTCGAGTCAATCAATTAATTAATCGCGTCTCAAAAAAAGAAAGAATTTGCTCTGCAAGCTAAAATCCATTTTTGATAAAATATAATTTACAACAGAATTGGAAGATAGAAATGTGTTTATAATATTTAAAAATATATAAAAAGTATATATATATATATATATTAGAGAATATACACACATACATTAAGAAAAAAAAATTATATACATTCTTCCAAATAGCAGAGTGACGGTAATATAATTGTCAACATCACTCTGTTACCTGGGCTGGAAGACCCTTGAGCTAGCTTTTTCCAGGTTGATGCCGTATTTTTCGTGAATTATTTTCTGAACATCCCAACTCACTTTTCCAGGGAGAGAAACCATCTAAAGTTCTTGAAATAAAATGTTTAAAAAAAGTCGAAGACAAATCCACAAAAGACGCGATTTCAGCCCGAATACCAAGCATTTCTCACCGTGGAAGCCTACACAAGAAAAGAAAGTTTAGTTGTATTCATCGGAAAGGGACTATTCTGGAAATTTCTGGTCATAAAAACCACATTTCGGTCGGAGGAACAGAAATTCTGTTTCCTTCAACCAGAAAGCGTCTGGTTGTTCCTTTTATGGTTGATGCAACCAGATTTTTATCCATTAGATAATTTATCCGAAGATAGAACGACTAGCTTTAATAGTTAAAAACTCAACGGAGCCATATTGAACACAATCGACACTCGTTGTACTCTTCAACATTTTTGCAAGAAAGTTTTCAAAAAAATAGAACAAATACGGTAAGAAAGAAAGACACTCGGGAAATATAGGGTCTTTATTTTATGGCTGTACTTTCAGCGTGAAAAACGGCCATCCTTTTCGAGAACAATTTTTTTCTAAATGATCATACCATGTAAATTCGTTTTAGCTTTAGAACTACAAACGGTATGCTTTTCGTGCCGCATGAGTTACACAATAAGGTCCCAGGTACCAAAAGAACAGACTTTGGCTCCGTATTTAATGCTACCAAAGTCCGCTAGAGGTGCTGCCAGTCTCAGGTAAGAGCTTCAGCTGTTGGTTCGGCGTCACTCCGTGTCGTGCTTTTATAAAAGCCACACTGGTAGTACTGAAAGATACAACACGAGAGAGAGAGAGAGAGAGAGTACATATAGAAGTGGAAGACGTGTACAAAAAGTTAGTATTCTTCTAACGAAACTGTGCGTGGTTCAACGCAATGACGGGATTCACGGAGAGCGCGTTGGTGAAGCGCTTGATGGATTTGAACCCGTCGCAGCAGAGTATCCAGACTTTGTCGCTCTGGCTCATTCACCATAGAAAACATCACCCGACGATCGTGAAGGTGTGGTTCAAAGAAATGTGCAAAGGTACGTGTGCAACGAGAATCATTCGTGCTGATCTCGCGTCGATCTGTCTGATACTTTCTCACGAGTAAGGAATCGAGAGTACGCCGACATCCGGGTCGTAAGAAATGTTAGGTTAGGTTGTACGGTTGCGCTGCATCGCGTAACGGACGTTCCTCTGTGTGAAATCGCCGCTGATTGATCGCGTCGTCCCGTCGGCCACGTAGCTCGGGGAGCTTATATCTGTCTCGACTAACGTTCGCGTGAAAATCGGACGGTTGTTTCAGCAGGTCGGGGCTCGGAGACAAATCAACGAGATTGGTGTTATTGATTTTGTTCAAATATTAATGAGACAAGGGTGTATACTGAGAAAACAAAAATTGCATCGTGTCGAATTGATTTCTTATATACTAAACAATATATTTTTGCAAATGTTTCGCAGTGTAACTATGTTATTGTCGCGCAAGATAACGATAACATTGGTAACACCTGAATACTTGCGTGGAAGTAAATAATTTAGCTTTGTATTTAATTTTATGTAACTTATAAGTAAGCAGCATATCTTCACACACATACACACCCATGTATACAGAGAATATAATTAAAAATAAGACATGAGCTTGTAATAATAATTAGAAATATATAATTGGAAGTATTTTACAAAATAAAATGAAAATATATCACAAGGGTATAATTAATATTCATTTATCTTATTATCTCTTTATATTAACCTTTATTATCTTGAATTCTTATGTGAGATCCATTTTGTTAGTGTATTATTACAATTATATATATTTTTACAGCCAAGGACAATCGGAAATTGATGTTTATGTACCTGGCAAATGATGTAATCCAGAACAGTAAGAAGAAAGGACCGGAATTTGGGAAAGAATTTGAGACAGTTTTGCCAAAGGCCTTCGAGCATATGAAGGGTTTCGACGAAAAGACAAGAGAGCGACTGAATAGGTTACTACAGATCTGGGAAGAACGAGGAGTTTATGACAAGACTCAGATAGCAGAATTCAAAGCAGCCTTTGCAGACGCGATAAAGGACTCAGGAACACCGCCGCCACGAAAGAAAGCGAAAGTCGACATTGAGAAGATAAAGGTATATTAGGGTGGCTATAAGGTCATATTGTTAAATTACATCATATACTTCTACATATAATTAAATTCTTGACCTTGGAAAAAATATATTCCTAGAGTATAAACGCAAATATAACAAATTCATGTAATATCCACAGTGTGAGATACTTTGCGCAGTTTTTATTTAGTAATTTTAATTTTTGGATTTATAATGTCTTCAAAATAACTAATTCGATTACAATGCGTGTGAAAATAGCGTAAAAGCTATATTTGTTATGCTTGCAGAAGGACAAGAAAGAAAGGAAAAAGTCCGAAACTGAAGTAGTAGAAGTGGACGGTACCAAAGAGCTTCACGTAACACTGAGTCCTCGTACACCAGCTGGCGACCCACCGGAAACCGAGGAGCTCATAAAGGCCTTAATGGTTAATATCAATTATATAAACGAGCATCTTCCCGAATTTGTATCGTCAACAATAAAATATTTTATTCATACCAAAATAAATGTTGAATCCACACATGGGGCGTGTAACGGCAAACGCTTACACAATTCTGACACGTCCATCCTCATCGATTACTTATCTGTTTCGTTTGGCTGCATTGCTGCTTTCTTTCGCTGAGTGGAGCATGCACTGAAACTTGTTTGTACTTTCCTTTGGTTTTTGGACAAACGTCATCATTCTTCAGGACGTACTGAGTGGATGCCGTTAGCGTTTGATCAATGTTTTATTTCGGTATAACACTGAGAATACATATATCCCATTTTTCTCAATGGTATATTTAGTTAGTCCGATTTCTTTATTAATAATAATGTTATTCAGTATGTGCCTTATTATTTGTTTCCATGCTGAGTGTTGGATTGAATGAGGGGTGACGTCTCGTGAGGATAAACAGTTTGTTATCTCGGGGTGGGAACTAACAGATCCTTTTGTTTTTCAGGATCTGGAAAATACCGCGTCGTCGGACGCCGGTGTTAGGGAACGTATCGCGTCGTTGCCACCGGAAGTGTCAGAAGTCTCGTTGCTTGCCAATCTTGCCGACCGTACAGCAGCGGATCAGTTGAGCGTCGCGGTCAACGAAGCCGCCGCTCTTCTTGCTGATTATAACGGTCGATTGCAAGCTGAGATGGAAGACAGGAGAAGACTGTTGACGATGCTCCGAGATTACACCTTGGCACAGAGACAGCTACTTCAGCAGGCACAAAGCACTCTAGAGGTATGATTCTATTTCCGCTCTGTGATATTACCTCCAATCTGGTATGTGTGGACAACACAATAGTGAAAGATTCATCCAAATTACGGAGCAGATTTTCTAAGATCAATCACTGCATTCTGCAGAACGTTTAGTTTAGTTGTTGGAAATTTTCTGAGTTGAGATTGGTTTGATTCTTTTAAATCCAGATGAATAACCCAATCTCAGCACAGAAAATTTTCAACGGTTGCAAAATAAACGGTTCTGCTGAAGCGATAGTTAACCAATGAGATACAGCACTTTTAAAGTTAAGTATTATAAGCATCAATTACTGGATCAATTACTATATTATAAATTGTAGAGAAATGTACATGTGGAAATATAATGCATGTTTTATTTTTAAAACAATACAGTTCTTTTAATAGAAGTTTCCCTCTCGAAAATTCGAGCATGAATATTAGGAACGATTATGATCTGAATTATATTACGTTACTTTGTTATGTATTTTTTTCATATTACAAAGTTTAATTTGTTCGCATCTTATCGGTAACATCATCATCTGTTACGTGTGTTTCAAGGATTATAAGGAAAAACTGAAGAAAGTCTGCGCGGTTCGAACGGAGGTGAAGTCTCACATTTCAAATCTTCCTGACTTGACGCAATTGCCGGACGTCACAGGCGGCCTAGCGCCTCTTCCCTCCGCTGGAGATCTGTTTTCCATGCACTAGTGTAAGCGTCACACGAAAGTTGCGTTTCTAGTTTTTATCACTTTAATTTTGCGGGTAGAAAATGACACGAATCGTGGAGCCGATAGATTTTTCCCCTTTTTACATCATTCAGAAGAACGAGAGAGTGGTCCACGGTGACATTATATTGTAAAAAGAAACGTTTGATGAATTCGAATAATTCGAATTTAATAAATTATATTGAAATGGAATACCCGTGTCAAGTACGAATTCAAGGCGAGAGAAGTATTGAAAGACAAGGCGAGTTATTGTGACTAGTGATGTATTAACAATGGCTACAAATGTCTGAACAATACAAATATACAATCGCTACGCAAATTGTTCGTGTAATATAGCTTTCGGTTTTATATTTTACGTGATAAGTTGTTCGACTCTTTCCGAGGACTGTCTTCACGGGAAAATATACCGAATGGATCAACGAGAATTCCCTTTTCCGAAATGAATCGGCGAGAGAAGAATTCCAAGTAGCGTGAAAAACGCAAAAGAAGATAACGTTCCTGCGATGTGACGAGGCGAAAAAACTCGAAATATCGTTCGAAATATATTAAACTCATTTAATATAATGATTAATTTTACAAAATTTATTTTATACCAATCGATATAAACGGATCCGGCTCTTAGATCGGTCGGATGATATACAATACTCAAAACGACTAAATTGCACGCATTATCGAATGATAATATAGATTTAGCCAGGTGAAGCTAAGAAATATAAGGAAACATCACACCTATTTTATAATACATTATTTTAGGACCCGTATTAATGGCTGTTATTTGAAACTTGTTTCACTGAGATACTCAGATCTGAATTTCGAGTTAAATTTGACTTTTTTATTTGAGTCACATATAATATGTACATTATATTAGCGGATGTGATTCAACTGAAAAACACATTTAATTCTAAAGCACGTATTTTCACTTGAAACTTGTTTCAAGTGAAATCTCTCCCAGATTTAAATTCAGAGCTGGATGTGAATTTAATCAGATGAACCGTTTATGCCAATATGACGGCAGATACATCATGTGATTCATCTGGAATTTAATTCCGAATTTAAATCTAAATATCTTTCATGAGACAAGTTTCGAACAACAATTATTAATACGAGCCTATATTTAAAAATGTGATCATCTCGCCCAAAGCAAATTTCAAGTAACGACAGTTGCGTTTCTAGTTATCACTTTAATTTTGCGGGTAGAAGAATCACGTGTATTGACAGTATTCAGAGTTTTATTCAATGATGTCAGTCATTCGAAGAAATGATCCTCTTGATCGTTTTGAGCAATGTATAATGTGATATAATATAACGACCGTTTCGCGAGCCGCAAAGTAAATACCCCAACGAAATAATAATGACCATAGAGATACCTCAAAATGGTAAATCGCGCTTCATGAAATTCATATAACTGTCTGGCTACCTGGAGGCTTTCTGCTAAGTTGGAGACGAGGCATCCGTACGCGTATCTCTGTGACGGAGCTTATGGTTATTTACGCACCGACCCTGTACAATTGCTCGAGAAGTCTTACCGCGTGTTTTTCTATCACGCCATCACTGTTCATTGGCAATCATCAAGAGATTGCTCTCATAGATCGAGTAAGCATTACCTGTACATATATATATCAGCGTAGTACGCATACAATAACGAGACTGACTACGGAAAAGCGGTCTCCGCGTAAAAATGCAACATTGTACATGTACTATTTTAAGAAAAACATGCGCAAATCGTGTGGACTGCGCTGAAAATAAAAAGATTGTAATATGCAACAAATTACAAATAAATGTTTTGATCGTTATATACATCGGGTCTTTTGTATTTTACTTCTTGCGAAAGTGATGTAGTTTCCTATATAGTTTTGACCAGATAAATTACAAAATAAGCTTTTTGCTACCTTACAAGAATGGCAGTCCTCAAAAGGAAGTAAATCTCATATTCTTATTTGACAAAGAATTAAACTCTTAAATGTAAAAACACCTAGATATATGGTTTGTAAAGAAAAATTATAATCAATCTAATAAATACAATAAATCTGTCACAATGTCATATCACCAGCATAATATGTATTAACGTTGATATCGTATTGATAGTCCTAATTGACTATTTTATTATGCCATTTATAAATACGGATCTATTTTTGTATATTGGAACCATTACAACAATCCATTTCTTAAACTTTAATGGATATCACGTGTTTACTTAACTCTATTGGAAAACGGTATTTTACATTGAGCACTTATGAATAGGTATTTATATACAGATGGTGATGCATAATCCATTTGATTTGCCATCTTAACCATTAATCTGAACACAGAACTTACATAGGCTCATGTTCCGAACACACTTTTATCGATAAAAGTACCTTAAGTGTGGCTCCTCAATCAATCGAGTGGTTCTTAAGCTATTTTTAAAGACACTTTTTACCAGATAAAAGAGAGTTCAGAATACAGGCTAGACTGTACAGTAGTTATTTGTAAACTGATTCAAATAAGAAGACCCTTGACAAGCAATTTGATTACAGTTTGACCACTATCTTATTGCTAAAATAGTTTTCCCCACAATTTACTAAAGTAAACTGTACAAATATCGACTTGTCCTATATGTACATTGTATCAAAATATATTAACACGTCTAACATACATGTCAATTTTGCTACGTATACGTTACGTGATTTACAGGGCGTCAAACATTCTAACTCACTTCTCTAAATAAATCTAACCTGATATTGATTGACAAGTTTTTCTAAACATACTTGAATATCGGCCTACAATAGATATTAAGCCTTGAGCCTTAAAATATCTATTGTGGACCGACACTGATAAGTTATCTCTTTAAAAATTGTTGAACACTATAATAAATGTTTGCGATATATATAAGTATTGTACATAATAAAGATTGAAGTAATCTACAGGATCATGTACATATGCAATTGAACTCCAATTCAAGTCCAAAAAAGACAAACACTTCATTTGCTATGATCTCATAGTAAATCTCGTAGCATATACATAGATATGGCCAATAAAAAGATCAACACTGAATATTCATATTTAGTAGTTACGAACATTCCAACTTGTCACTTAGATTTTGTTTATTATTCTTAAGTCTCATGTGGATGTGGAGGTCTTGTGGGCTTCAGAATCAACTTTCCAGTATCATCGCAGCTCATGTTGAAATCACCAAGAACACTTCTGGCACGTTGAGTTATAATACTGGGCGCTATTACACGTCTATGTACACCCATCATAAATAATATCACTGTAAAACAATTTATTAGCAATTACAAAATATATATCATAGTTGTATGAAACACAGATAGTTTGCACACTTACCTAATATTATACTAGCCATTGTAAAGAATGGATGATTGCATAGACTCTGTGTAAAGGACACTGCCGATGTATTAGGATCTGTCAGCCAGTGCCAAGCACCCACAGCAGTACAGACTGAGATAAAACCCAGCAACACTGAAAAAATATCCAAACATCCAGTATCAAAATGATTAACAGAAGCAAAGTTTCTAAATGAAAAGCAAACAAAAATATACTTCTCCATCTGAGTGTTGCAGGTTGCAGGCTAGCTATAACCTCAGTCAGTCGTCTCTCAAAAGCCTTCAGGTCTGAAAGTGCAGAAACAGGTACTGAAGGAGGAAAAAAGTAATTTTAAAATCAATGTATTATACTCATTTATCCAGAGATAAAGTAAATATACAAGTAATAATTTACTTTAATCGAGCTTTCTTCACAATCTAAGACATATCTAATCTAAAATTTTTACACGAAAACATTATTGCTCATTAAGGTTAATTAGTGATAAGTATTGATATAATTAGCCGTTTTTATACAAAATCACTAGTATTTTAACTACCAAACAATGCGTTTTTAACGTATATTTTTACCTTCACATACTGTCTGGTCCAGTGACATGATTGTTTATCACATTTGCAGTTTGTATCAGAGGCAATAAGAGAGAACGTGTTAAAACGCGCGTGCGAAGAGGGAAAGTGATTCACAGGATAAACAACACACCGTGAGGTGTGTATCACTTAACTTGCAAAACTTTCTGCTAAACTTCCAACATTCGATTTCTATAAAATTCCCTATTAAATATTTCTGTCCGAATTGATTAATTTTCAGTTCCAAATGTGCAATTTTAATGCCAAAAATATTTCTTCCAATTGTAATTTAAATTTTAATTAAAAATCTCATATAAACTTCCAATTTTAAAGCTTCAGTGCATAACGTAGTGATTTAACAGAAAAAGAAATGGAAAGAAAAAAGGATGAGATACTTTGTCATTACGGAACTCAATGAATTTTCCAACAAAGATACATTAACTACACAAAATCGTTTTATTGACTAGATATTATCTTAAAATCATTTTAAAATGATACTTTTTTATCAATAAGACAACATTGTGTAACCGTCCTTGCTGGAAAATCCACTCGACAAAGTTAGTTAATTACAGCACTACCAACTTTGTAACTAGAAAAGATATTTCCTACATATCTAATAAAACGCATCTTCAAAACTACAACCTATCATTAAATGTTCCATGAATTTTTAAGTCTGATTGATTCGTATTTTTAGATCTTGATTAAATTTGAAAACATGTACCAACGTGAACCCTGCATAAATAGAGAAATGGCATTGGAAAGATCGATTTGATTGGCTATCTGAATCACATGACCCGAGAATTCAGTACTCAGTGAACAGTTGTAGTACTAAATGTACGTCTATGCCTTACATGAAACTGGTTCTTACTTTATATGATAACGCCGCAAGATGGCAAACGCCTTGCAAGTGACTCTTTTAAATTTAATATTTTAAATTAACAATCACGAAATTCTCGCAATTCTAACAATGCAAGGCTCCACATTATTTAATAATATACTCTGCAAAAATTTAAACCTTTTATTAATGTGTAGAATTATCACTATTACCTACAATATTATACTCGCATGTACATTTTGGAAGACAAACTCTTTATATATTACTTTCAAACCGATTTACAACGGAAGTGTGTGCTAGTGATGGCACAGCTGAACATTGATCGCTAACGTAGAGATATGGCAGATCTGCTCAGTGGGTGTTGTCACGTGATGAAGTCGCTTCAAATAGCTTCTTGTGAATCGACTCCCGATTGCGCGTGCATCTTCGTGGCTCGTATTACGACCTCGGATTTGCACGCCTGCACGGTTGAGTCCTTCAAGTCGCTCCTCGAACCGCCGCGATTTCCAAATTGGGGGGCAAATCGAGAGTAGGTCAGACGAGTCATAATTAGTCGCTTCCATATACAGGCACTGCTTGTAGAAAGCAGTTTGCCATTTTTTGCATACTTCAATTTATTTTTTCCACTATGAAATGTGCGTGATGTAGTTTGCGAGAATATTTCAGGCAGTCATAAGGAGGAATTCGTTGTTTTTTAGAAGTTGTAAATAAATATATAAGTCTATATAGGATTATGCGTATAGTATGATTCTTGGATATGATTTTTCTATCATAGAAGTGAATGACATGATATACTCAAAACATTTTTTATTGAATAGAAAATTTTATTTATTACTTTAATATACGAAAATATACAATGTTTTAATAACATACTTAAACTTTTATAATCTTACATAACATCTTAGATTAGGCTTCAATATTCCTTATTCGCACATTGTATATTAAACAAATTACATATGCGTGTTAAATATATATAAAATAAGTATCTAAGATAAATTCTAATTAAATTGCAATACGATCGCATACCATTTTTGCATTTCATATATTCAACGTTAATACTTTATCATCTGAACTTAATTTAAAAATAAAGAATTAGAGGTCAGAATTAAATGACAGAATATCATCAAAAACATGCCTCGTTTTTAATCAAGAATGTAAAATAAGAAAACATTTCACATTATTAACATATTTAGGCCTCTATGAACTTACATATCATCTTAAGTTTCGATTTTTTTCTGTGTCTCGCTATTAATTTCAGAAGAAATTTGTGTGAAAAGAAGATTCCAATTCCAAACTTCATCAGGTTCTTTTACTAAGTTTTCATTATAAAGTTTATCTGCAAGTAGCGAAAGACTAACACCATCCAATGACGTAAATGCTGCGTTTTTTACCAGATCTGTATCCAATTCTTCGTACGCGGTTACACGATTTGCATTAACTCTGGAAAATAATATTTCTACTTAATTTTTGTAAAAAATATCGCTATGAAAGTTTTCTCTTTCTTTGAAACATTTATTTTTTCAAGTCTTAACATAAATCTTAGAATAGATAATACTTACGTAGGAGCACTTGCAATTTCAGGAGAAATATTATCTTCCTGAATTTCATCCAAATCTGGTATAACAGGAATATCTACAAACACAAAAGATAATAACACCAAAGAAAAAAAAGGTGACAAAAATCTAGCAAATATGATGAGTTAATAATACATCATGATTAATTTATCTTTAATATGTCATTTGACATACATATAATATTTATCATATTTGCTCGAAAGGATTAGTTATTTTAATTGATTAACCACGATTGCAACTATTATTCATTATGTATATTATAATTATGAATATATATAAGTAAAAATCTATGATCATATTTAGTTAATATAAACCACTGTTAATGTAACCAGTAATGAACCCGAATCAGCTTACCATCTTCTAGTTCCTCTTTCTCCATTGCTCGAAAACGTTCCCTAAGAAACAGTCTGTCAGTGACTACAGATGTCTAATTCCTTAATTTTATGTATTATACTCACTGTTCAATGATATTTGATGCTGTCTTTGATCTAAGCAATGAAGAAGAAATTGCTTAATCTAATTATATTTCAAAATAACCAACTTATTTTAGTCACTTCATGTTTTGTTACAATTATTTGTTTCAAAATTATTTCCTTTTTAGAAAAGAGACATCTTAAAGAGATAGTATATATTTTTTTTCTAAGTGTAGTTGCTTTCAGGTATCTTCTGAACCAAATAATGTCACATACTTGCCACTTTTTAATTCATCACCCCAGCCAGTTTTCCTAGAACGAGGTGGTACCATTGGCCTTTGTGCAGGAATAGACTTTCCAGATGACAATGAAATTGGGCTCTCCAGAGGATCATCATCAGATTTATTTTCTTCCTGAAAATTGTTTTGACCTGCGCGTCTACCTAGGCGTGGTATTAACTGAAAATTTTTTGATTCGCTAGATTATTAAATTTGTACATAAATGACTTTTTCACTAATGCTATTAAGACACAAAGAAAGATTTCAAATTTAACTAATATACTAATATATTTGTACTCTAATTTAGAATGAGATTATATCAAACTTTTATATTAAAATTAGATTATAAAAATATATATACATATATATATATATATATATATATAAATACAAGTATAAAATATTTAGAATATTAAAAGAAATTTAAAATAATACAGAACACTCTTTTCCCCAAAATATTTTCTAAGTTACATATATATATATATATATATATACCTTCTTAGAAGTAATCTCGAGATCGTTGGTCCAATCCATTTGAAATACAATTTTCCACTTAAACACTAAAGAAAAATCGAAATAAACATGAAAGAGCAAAGACAAAAATTTCTATGTTGTGAACCACTTTAAATCAGACTTGCAAATAATAAACTTGATAACTATATAATCGCTCCTATATTGTGTTTATAAATGGTAACCATGACAACAAATGCAATCTGGCTTATATTTGTGGTTTGTTCTTTTTAGATGAACTGAGGATGCACTATCAAGAAATTTACACACATATTGAAAAGAATGAAGCACACGTACAAGATTCTTACACCAAGTATGCATACTTTCTTGAACTAGTGTAATAAATTTAACTAAAAAGAACAGACCAATTTTCATCAATAAGTTCTTCTTACTGAAACAACAAACTCTGTCATATACAAAATTATACAAATTCCATCAAAACTTTTATCTCTAATATTATTTTTCCAATACAAAGTAACGAATGAAAAAAGTTATTGGCTGCGTTCAGCAGAAAAAGTAGCTTTGCAACTGTAATAAAATTCGTGAATTTGATTGGTGTACGCTTTCATGCAGGATTCACATTGCCTCCAATGTCCGAAATACAACGTTCGGTATCCAATAGGAGAATACGTTTTCTAGAGACAAACATGTTGCTAGCTAGGAATCCTAAAAATGAAATCTCCTATTATCAAATATCATCGATATCGAATCGTACATCAAGAGCATCACCAATCAGAATTAATAATAATTACAGGTTTAACTATAAAGAATCGAAAACTTTAACAAATATTCAAACCTTATTAGTTAAGATTCAAACCTTTGGCGCACAAATCTTTTCCTGACATCGCTAGATGACGCTATAGTCAATTGCATGCATAGATTATTTAAAATTTTTTTCAGCTTGTTATAAACAGTTTTTATTGATAAATGGAGATCATAAAATAATTCATAAGTAGGTAAGAAATTGTTTTATTTTCAAATCACATGACTCAACCACGAGGAGTATAAATGTTGTTCAAATATAGATAAAAAAAGAAAAAAGGATATTCTAGTAAAATTCACCCTAAATGACTGACGATGCGTCTTTAATAAGTACAATACAGAAGATTTAGCGATTAAAGGAAAAATATTATATAGACCAGAAGTCAAATTAAAATCGTCTTATGAATACTTTATGCATATTATGTATTTAACAAAGTTTGTATTTAATAAAGTTGTGTTACATAGAAACAGATTCATATATTTTCGTCAGTCAAATAAATTAATTATATGCGTATGTTAATTATATATGTAAGTAACAAAAAATAAAAAGATTGAGAAATTAGAAAAGTTCTGATAAGATTGAAAAATATTACATTTTAATATTTCTTGGTTATTTCTTCTTCTTCCATCCTTGTGTTATTTGTTTCTGGCCTTGCCTAATGTTTATATTGTTACGGATTTTTAATACATCTATTGCCCTTATCCGATGCCATCATTTTAATAACTCGCCTATAATAAAAATAAATTATATGTTTTATTAAATAATGTTAACAAATAATTTTACACTTCATGTATTTACAATTAACAATCATTACGGTAGAATTGAATTTTAAATAAAAGAAGATTCTTGATATCACTTGAGTTAATTCAAATTCTGTCTTAATTAACTTTAAAACTTCAAAAAAAATTTTTTTAATCGGAATAAGTCAATTCAAATTAAATTTATAATAGTAAATTTGTGAAATTTGTCTAAAAAGTTGTATTTAAAAAATTTCTTTTTATTATTTGATTTAAGAGGGAATAAAAAGAAGTAGGAGCAGGAGAGGAAAGAAAAGTATGATACACAAACGAAAACAGAAAGGAAAGAGAGAATCGAGAAAATGAAAAAAATAATGAATACATTGAAATTTTGAATCGTTCGCCACATAAGTGCAACATACCATATCAAGTTACACTCATCCGTAGGGTAAATATAGAATAAATCAATCATTTGTTTAGTAATATTTCCGGACAAATAGAAAATGCTGCCGGCATTAGGACCGTGTGTTATCAGTCTATAATTAGCATCGTAACAACAATATTGCGAAATCCAGCTTCCATTTTTTACAAGTACACTTTTCCAACGGTAAATGATCTCATTTTTTTCTTCTGCGAACGATTTTATGATAGGTTTCATATTCACCCACCAATAATTTTTCTTACTATTTTCGTCCCAGATACTCCAAAACTCTTTTTTTTCAGTTGAATATAGGCAGGGGCACAATGGTAATGAATTGACAAGTTCTGCGGAACATATAGATTAATCAGTAAGAATACTTCCTTCAGAATACTTATTTCAGCGAACATTTGTAAAAGTAACGCGAAAAATTCTCGACGTTATTTGATTCCATGTTTCGATAATCTGCTTAAAAAAAGCGCCTATATTTAACAAATTTAAATAATATATTTATAACATATGTAGAAAAAGAGAAGATTCTCGGTTCTTCAATTATTCATAACAGATAAATTCGCCTATCGAATATCGGATACGTTGCAAAGCACGTTCGAAAAAAAGCGTTCACTAACGCTACCACTTAACGCTTTCATACATTAAACACACAAACACATACGTAGATATATTGAAAATAGGAAATTTTGTCTGTTATAAGGTCAAATAGTATGAGAATTGTTTTGATTCTTGCAGAATGTATTCAAATACGCCATCCAAATTGAAGATTGAAGATTGAACAAGGTTATCAAACATAAATTAAAACAAGACAATGCTTACCTGATAAAGCTGAATAATACTTTTCTTTCGTTTTCGAGTCAAACTTACAATTTGGTTTTATATTTTCTTTTTTCCAGCTTGTGACCCAACTGTAAGTTAAGTCCTTAGTGAAATCATAAAGATTTCGAAATATTGTTAAATTCTGTATGTTTAATGATGTGTTTATATAATCTATTGTTGCACTTTTATAATCTATATTTCTCTGTTTTCTAGACATATTTGCTCCTTTTTGAGCTTCTATATCGTGCTGATATTCAGTATTCATTTTTTCACAGTCGTAATTGCCTATCTTGCGGATAAGGAATTCACTCCAACACACCGACATATTGAATGGCTTAAACCTTTCGTCCTGGCACAAAGAAATTCCTTTTCTTAACAAACATCTGTTTGAATCTTCTTCCTCTTTGCCTACCGCTTTTGATGGCACATCATCTGTAGGATTAGCCTACGAGAAACATTAGCTTCGTTAATCTAAATGCCGTGAAGCGCGAAACTATAGGAGCAATAATCGCGAAACTAAACTTCTATCATTTATCTCTGATTAATCGTTAATAATTACGGAGAGGAAGAAACCTCGATGTCCTCAAAGTTATGAACTGTCTCACATCGTCGACCATTTATACTCATACTTACCTTATTACTTTGGACACCGGCAAGCACCGAGTAGATCAAGTAGAAACAAATCACCAAGAAAATTACATGCAACGCTCTCATCTTTCTGATTTAAGATTCGATCTCGGGATAACTCTCGTCGTAGAAACGTCGCGAGTGATTTCAAATTTCTAGAATGTCCAGGGCTTTCGATGTCACGAAACGAATTACAAAGGTATCAGTGTTCGTTTATTTTTATTAATAGACGAAGCTCTGTTATGTTTTGCTTATGCTCCGCTGCTGAACATCTCGCGACTATCGTGTACTCTGTCCTGCCTTCGGCTGTTATTGTCTCTAATCGTCATAATCGTCACGTTTCGTCCTCGTTCATTTACCGAACGTACCTTATTTCGTACATAAATATCAATATAAGATCACCATCGAGCCGTTAGAAATGGTTCCGACAAACGATCGACGCAATATAGAACGAAATAAAAATACGGATAGATATAATAAGACTTGAAGATGATCGCCGGTGGTAATTCTTCAGAGTAAAATATAAAATCAGATATTGTTAAGAAGCTTATCGTCATCATCGAAATGTTGTTTTCAATTGGAAAGGACCCGTCCCGCTGTAACATTGTCTCATAATGGTAGGCAGAAAAGGGTTCGACGAGCGGGCGACGGTTTTACTTTTTCAAGGCGCCGTTTTTTCATTCTCCTCCCTTCGAACGATCGATCGTATCCTTTTCACAGTATCATGTTATTCATCTTGATCATCTCGCGCGCTTCGTAAAGACCGTGACTCGTCGCGGTTGGTTCGTGTCAAAATCCGATTCGATGGTAGCAGTAAATAATATTAGAATATTTTCGATTGGAATCATTCCCGTTTTTTTCTAGACAACACAATAGAACATCCAGAAAATAAGGAAATGATTTCTATCGAAAAGCTTTGCTAACATAAGTTCCATGATAACTGTCCCGATTCTGAGGTGAAAATAACGTTATCTGTGATGTTCAAGAGAGATAAGATTTAGAATTAGACGGTCACGTTTCAAGGCCAAATGTGTTTCCAGAATAATGTTGATCAGGCAAAAAAATGTTTCATTTATAATTCTATATAATTATAGGTTTTTATACATATTCTATATATAATTATATATGAGAAATTTCTTCCCCCTGGGGAATTTATACTGTAAATCTATTTTGTAATTTTTAATGACAGTATTGTTATCGTTACTTAGTTGCACAGATATAATATATAGTAGAACAACTGTACAACGACGATGTAACAATAACGACACTGTCGTTAAAGATCACAGAATAAGTTTTCTGATCAAGTCAGCTCATAAAATGACGGGTTTTCTCATCATTTCCGTCGTCGACGCTTCGATTGAGTCGCGTTCAACAAACGCATGTCGGAGTATCCCTTCAGCGTTCTTCTCACATTTGTACTTACACGCGGCACTGCGTATACGTGCGTATTACGAAGCGCTGGATCTAAATACAACGGTGGAATGCAGCGAAACGCGTTTCGGTTATTTTTAGTCCGGCGGATTCGAAAATACACCCACTGCGGATTAAATATAGCCGCGGGGGATGCATGCGCGGAATGCAGTACAACGACACACATGGCGCGCGAATATGCAAATTCCACGTGTCGCGCGTTCGCCCGCGAAATCTCGCGGCGAAATATGGATAATCGGCATCGACGTCGGAAGGGAACGCGTGAGCGTCCGGGTGTTGAGGGGAACCCAGAGAAACCTGGGTTGACCCTTGCTCAAAACATAATGACAAATCGTACGCGATCTCTATTTAATCCTCTCGATCTCGTTTGGTTATATATGTTTCACGGTAAGTTTAAACATTTATTTGACATTAACATTGTTTAGCTTACTTTTCTACAGGTGACAACACATACATACTTGAAGTTCCTCGAAAAACCAAAAAATGGTAGGACCAAAAAGGTTAATACAATAATAATCGTCCGTGTATCGAGAGAAGGACAAAGAGAATTTAACCGCAGGAGATCCGATTTACACCGATTGAGCGAAACTCGCGAGGCCGTCGAATCACAATATTCATTGGATAATCGTCCACGGTAAAGCCGCGCAATTTCTCCGAGATTGAAGAAAATTGCGGACGATTACACAAATTCACTCGATGAGACTTTTGTCCACCGTTATTTCTCCACGTGCGTGACCTCCTTCGGTTTTAGCGGGCCACGTGTCGACGTATGACGCTCGCTCGTACATTTCCCTCTCGAGAATGGTGTCCACCATTCGACAGCCTGCTTTGTTAAAGCGCACAGTGACGATAATTCGCGTCCCTCGACTAAGCGATAATTTATAGTGCGAATATTTCGAATATTCGCCGCTCTCTCTCTCGAATATTTGGCAAACGATCGAGCTGTCGGCGCCAGTCGTTTTAGCCGCGACTTCGGCTGCGAACGCTGCGTTCTCGTTGCGATACGCGCGAGTAAGGAAAGACCGATAGCGCTCGCATTCCGCGACTGCATTTCTGCAATCCGGCGGCGCCAAGCTCGTCGTCGCACCCGCTGTTACTGTCACCTGCCGCTTTTACAGGCGCGTCTGTAAATTTTGATTTTTCTCGAAAACAAGCCGCGATATCGCGTGCTTTTATTTGCGTCATCGTCGACGTCGTCGTTGAGAAAAGGCATCGCGCAACGACGGAACAATAAAAAAAACGCAACAATGGGTATCCGGGGATTAAATCGGGATACCTCGAAAACACGTTGGGTGCGCTCCTCCTTTTTCTCGCCGGGCCTTTTCTTACACTGCTATGGGGGAGTAACGGGCGAATAACATCGATCACGATCGCGTGCTATCACTTAAATATCATTTATTTCTTTTGCGTCTCGGCTATAAATAAATCGTGGCACGGCGGCGACGCGAAATGCGTCACCGCCGAGCGTATCGTATATACACAGTTGGACATTCAACTAATTCCTCGTTTACGATTATAGCAATAATTTAACGGCACTATGACTTAACGGTATACTAATATAGACACATATTCGTTAATACGTGTGATACTACGCGCACTTGGGAATGTTCTTATGTACAAAGTAGCTGCGTACGGCATTGATTAAGGATCGTCGTCGGGCTGGATCTCCGGGAATGACGAAGAGCGCTGACAACATTAACCCATTAACGACCTAAGCAATTATAATACGAGAAATGCCAGAGGAATCCCATAATATCAGGACAGAAAATGACGTCGGAAAAATTAAGAAATAATCGACTTGACCTCCGTTGAAAAAACCAAGTGAGAATTCATATAGGAAATGGAATCCCATAGTTGTCCCCGGGGATTTGCGCCAAAAACCAGATCATAGGTAAACAATGTGGATTCCAATATGAATTTTCATGCACCATGTACATACATTTCTAATATTCTACATGGATTCACATGAATTCCCTTGGATGGTAATCTATCCGGAAATTTTCAACAAGAACGTTATCGTAACTACCGTTTCGTTCTACCTGGGAATCGTCCTAATCGTGTCAACAATTTGACTTCCAACAAAATTGAGAAAAGTTCTACGAACGATTGAATATCGCCGGAAGTAGCAGATTGACCGCAGAAATGAAACGTTGGCTGTTAAAAGGGTTAATTGAGCGCGATTACCGACGCTGTTCCCGGGGAGATTCGATGATCCCCGAACCGTCATGCGCGAAAAGTCGTTGGAGAGCAGTAACAGTTCCGAGGGAGGTGCCGATTCCATCAACGGCATCCGCAGCGATCCGCGATCATGTCCTCATACCTTTTCAGCACGACGTTCTCGTTGCCGTCGTAGAAGAGGATGCTGGTGCTCAGCAACTGGGTCGGTACACAGCAGGGTCTCTCGACGCCCTTCACCAGACCCATCTTGTGCACGATCGCTTGTATCGTCGCGTGATTCGTCGGCCGTTGGTCTTGCCGAAGCGGCGGCTCGCAGACGCCCTTACAGTGATAAGCGGAATAGCCGGCCGGCGCGATGATGGAAGAGGACAAACCGATGTCGCGGAAGTCTACGTAGAGCTCGTGTCTGGCACACTCGCCGCTCGTGCTGTTCCGCTCGTCTTGACCGCTCGTGGTCGAGCGTGTCAATCGACGTTCTCGCGCTGTCGACCGCCTCATCGAGCGGTCGCGCGCCGTTTGGCCGAGCCTCTCGCGAAACGTCGCCCTCTCGTAGATGTCCATCGATCTAAGGATCCTCGTGGTCTTCCTCGTATCCCTCGACGACACGATCGAGCGTTTCTTGGACGACGCGGCGTCGCGACGACGACGTCCGCTGCTCACCTCCAACGTTCCGGCTTCCTGTGGGAGACACGGTTCGTCTTCTTCTTCGCCGTGCCTTCTCTTCTGCCTCTGGAAGAACTCCAGCTCGCGTCTGTTCTCCAGTTGCGCTTCCTCCGGCTGACCCCGTTGTCGTTTGTGTCGTCGATAATGCTCCACGTAGCTCTTCTCCAGGTTCTCGCCTTTCGCGTCCTTCTCGATATCTTCCGCCTGTTGATCGTCCTCTTGGTTGCCGTAGGCGTAATAGCGAGGCGCAACATTCGTTATTCCGGCTTGGCTGCGATCGCCATTGTCGTCGTCGAAGAGCACCAATATCGGTTGCTTATTGTGACTGTGGTAGTCACTCCGACGCGAAAACTCTACTGCCACCTCCTCCTCGAACAAGGTCGACGCCGTCACGAGGAAACCCAGGTTTAGCTCTCCGCTCACCCACCCGAGAACCGCTTGCTTTACGTTAAACACCTGCACAAAATGATTCCTTACCGTTAATTGCGGCTTGATTACGCGGAGAATTCATTTTACTTTTTCATCAAACCTATTTAGATGTACATTAAATCTTCAAAAGTTTTTTATTGTACTCTTTTGGTGCCAGAACCCGAGTCGAAATTAAGTCTTTACATGGAGAAGACGGGAAGAAATTCCCCATTCGTAGCATTAAAGGAACACGATAAAATATCTTTGAAGACTTAATATAGAACTAAATTAGACTTAAAGTAATCTCGATTCGGAAAATGGGAAGTTATTTTTTCTAGCATAGTAAGTTTTGAAGTTCTTGAAGACTTGACGTAGAATTAAATAAACTTATTATTTCAATTTCGAAGGACCAACATTTCGGACACGACATTGAAAACCTTGGAAATATTGTCCCGAGTGTGATTAAAGAAGAATCGGAAGCCTTAATTAATTGTTTTTATTCTTAGCGTTATTTAAATTTTGAATTATCACGTAAATTGAACTTACCTGCCAACCGGAAGCGTGTGCACTGACGCAACGAACGCTCAATAGCTTATGAAGATCCGGCACGTCGAGGCTGCGATCGTCCAAGACTTGGTACACTCTTATCTATAGAAAAATCAAGCATGCACATACGTCAAACGCTTTAATCGTCCGTGCGTGCGCTACGACGCTGCCAGCCACTTACCAGATAATAAGGCGACGTAAGCGTCGTCGAGCGCATGTTCCTCAGAGGCATTTTCTTCCGGTATAGATGCAGCTCGGCCTCCAACACCGACTCGCTCACCTCCAGACCCGAGATATTAAAGAAGTAGAAGTGCGACAGGGAACTGTCTGAACGCGAAGAAAACAAAATGCCGTTAGGCGATTCCTCCTCGCGAAAGTGTGCTGTCTAAAGTGACTGAAATCAAGTTACCCCGTTCGATGAAGCTGCGAACGACCTTGGCATCGTAAGGATTCCGCGTGACCCCGCTCGGGTCAGCGATGGTATTGTAAAGCTCCACCATGAATTGCGGCGGCACTTTGCGACGAACCAAGTTCTCGCTTTGACTCCGAATTCCGAGGACCTGCAACGTTATCAACTTTTCACTAAAGAGCGCGAGGCTCTCGCTCTTTTGTCATCACGAAGAATTCGTTGGAGCGAATTGAATTTCAGCGGTTTGTTACACGAATCGCGGTCATGTGAAATTTCTGCGCGAAAATCACCCTGAGTCATTAGACACGGCGGTAATATATTTTGAATATGATATAGGCCCGATTTTGAATTTTCTGGCTAATTTGTGATTTAGCCAGATGTTAATGTAAAAATTGTGTTTTTCTACTCATAATTAATCATTAAATCTGAAAAATTACTGCTATAAAACCATCAGTTTAATGATTAACCATGAATAGAAAAACACAATTTTTATATTACCATCAATTTAAGTGTAAACCACAAGTTAAGCAGGAAATAAAAAATTGCACGAAAAACGTGACGGTCCCACATTTGCCGTGAAGATAACAACAAGTAGATACGAGTCACCGTGATGCACGTCCTCGAGGCTCGGATCGTCGACGGTGATACGCGACGTCAGCGTAATATCCGAAGCACGTCCAAGCACGACACGATGTCTTAAATCCGTAACTTGAGATAGTCGTTATCACACAGACCTCTTGTATCTTCTGCAGAGCTTCTTCCCGTCGGGATGCGAGGTCGTTCTCTTCCGTTAGCTGGCCGAAGAACGGCCACGAGTTTCCGAGCTGTTGCTCATCCCTGTCCTCGAGAAAGTCCGATGGGTACGCGTTAACGTCGCTCAGAGACGCCAATGAGAACAGTAGCATCAGCAAACAGGCCGGGACGCTTCTCGTCATCACCATCAGCTAGGATCTACGTGCGTCGCGAGGAAAGACCGGTAAGTTCGCCGAGGTCGAACCGTCGACTTCGTTCTCGCGCCGGAAGGAACCTTCTCAACTCGCGGTAATAAGTATACCCAAGTGTCTCGTCTCGATCACGGGAAATCCACGCGGAAAGGTATCGTCGTCGTCACTGTCGTCGTCGCGGTGGCCGTCGCGCATCGACTATGCCTTCATCGCGATCGAGGGATAAGAGCGCCTTTTCCCGAGCTTGTCCCGCACCTTATCAGCGCGGAAGGAGAGGTGAGAGAGAAAAAGAGAGAGGAAGATAAAAAAAGAGAGAAAGAGAGAGACAGCCGCACGGAGACTTTGCCGAACGGGATGCTAAGTGGCATATGGGAGGTCTTGGCCGCGAGGAGTCACCTTTATGCTATGCCGGGAGTTGCCTCCCCCGCATTGCCTCTCCGCAACTTCTCGCTCCGTTCTCTCTCTCTCTCTCTCGTTGGACACAAAACCGACCGGCCGCGGATGCGCGTTTTAGTAGTAACATTTTCGCCTTCGTCAACATTCCTTGGCCCTTTAACCCAGTGGCAGGCCATTCGTGCGCGAAGCGCGCGCACGCGCGCTCACATCGAATTTATTTATTCGAGCATAAGTTATGTACGATGCTCGTAAAACGGTACACTGTGGAAATTTGATTGCGCGTTTTACGAGCGACTTGCTGCCTATGACGTTCAATTCAATTTATTACCTCGATTAAATCAGACGTTACACGCGATAAATCTCTTCGAGTACCATCATCGAGACGTCTGAAATTGAATAAAATTGGGACGACTGTTGCGAAGAAGAGGAGAAGTTTTTGAAAACTGAAAAGAAATTCTTGTGCGGTCGTTCATCACACACATAGATCTTTTGTTTTATAAAAGTTATCGCGCGAATGAGATATGTTGGATTAGCGTGAAAGTTCGTTCAATTTTTTAATCAGTTCTCCGCTCAGAAAATTTTAACGACTATCTCTTCTAAAATTTTTACAAGCAAGGGATTGAAGCATCGGAAAGATGATAGATTATCGAACAAAATGAATTATCTTCTCGATTGACTGATAGTATTTTAAAATAAATAAATATTATATGTATATTTGTTGATTAATAAATAAAATTTTTGCATCATATCCAATAACTTGGATATTTTCAAATTTAATAGAAAATGCTTTCCCGCATAAGAAAAATAATTAATTCCTCATTCGCGTGATTTACGAGCTTCCTGCAGCAACCGATTCGATTATTCGAGATCGATGGAAGAAGTTGGACTCGAAAACTACCGAGAAAAATTGAGATACGGTCGCGTTTCGACGATGACAGTGCGTGGCTATTAAAAACATCGCTTCCTAAATCTTGCGTATTCGTAAGTGCCGAGTTATGTGGCTTGTCACGCAGCGATATTTAGACGGATTGACGTACGATGTTGACAACGCCTATTGTTTTCTAACGAGAAAAAAGTCACGCGAGTATCGCTGGTTTATTTTGGGTAAAGCTTCTGAGCCTCCCGCATCCTCGATCCTTTTAGCGCCGCGTTAACGATAAACAATCACGTCGCGCGAAAGGAGCTGTACGGCGAGACTTTTGCCAATTGTTGAACGCGCTGCAGAGTGCTCACTTATTGCTGGAGATTTCTACTAATATTAGCGCATAATCGATGCTCCACTGTAGTACGTTTGGCCAACAATTTCCTTCCGTTGTTCTAAATTAGAGTAATCAGTCGCTCGAAAGAAGTTGATTCTCCACGTTAATAAGAGTATAATACAAATAACTACATGACGAATTGCAGAATGCTCGTTGGTCTCGTTTCTTTCGCAAAGTGGCCTCATCATCACGGTAAGTACGCTCGGATTGGGAACATGTGCGAAGCGTGGGCGAGTTCAGGAGTTTCCCTCATTTTACACTTCGTAGGAGACACATCATTGATTTATTAGACATATGGATTAGTACATGATGTACCTAGGAACATGAGTATGCGCACGAAGTATATCTAAATACACTGTCATATTTCTCGATTCGCCTTCGATCCGAGGAAACAACGCGACTCGCGGCGAAATGGTAATTTCTAGCAAAATCTAGACGCAGGCACACTGAGTGATCTGAATTATTTCTCTCTTCGCACCTCGTCGAGTTCTGAAAACATCGATTTCATTGTGATCCGTGATCCTCTGGATATTCGAGAAGTACTCGATCGGAAATATACGACCTCCGAGATCTGCCTCTCTCTCTCTCTCTCTTTCAATGCATTCTCCTCATTCTTCGAGAATGTATAGCGCGAAAAATAATTCCGTCGAGCGATTTATAGTCCACGAAGATAAATGAAGGCACATCCATCGTGTGGAGTTCTAATTATAAATGGTCGTGGAATCTCAGAGGCCGATATTTCGGTTAATCCTGCTGTTCCGGTCCGGTTTGCTTGACTCACTTTTATTTTTCCCCAATAACTCTATTTCTAACACTCCTCATTTCGTTATTTTTAAATTTTTCGTCAATTTTCCATATTTAAATAAATCTTTACACAACACGAGAAAATCTCGAGAAGCAGCATCGAAATAAAAAGTTTATGTAAATTTCGGTACGCACGAACGGAACGGCAGGATTGACAAATCGGAGTCGTGAAGGATCATACCTGTACTCGTGCACCTTAAATCTAGCTGGTGTACAAGAATGCTGCTTCGAATATAAACCGGCCAGGCATCTGGATGGCTCCTTTTTGTCGCGCAAAAGACACGTTTCCGTTTCATTCCCTGGACACGTGCCGACGCATTGGCCGACGTTTATTTGCTGTGGAGAACAACAGAAGTTGAAGTCGTCGCTCGAGATGTTGATAGCGACAATTGTCGGAGGGCGCGCGCCCCTCCGAGTGTTCTCAAATAAAATATTTCTTACTCGGACCACGGGTCTGACGTCGGTCGTGTTTGTGCCCTCTTTAATCGCCACTTCGCTGTAATCCAGCACGGTCTCCATGTGATCCATCCTGTGGCAGTTGCCGGCGCAACCGCACTTCTCAATCACCTGGTAGACTTCGTCACCTTGAAAATACATCGAAATCCTCAATTCGAACGACTGTCAAGTAGTTTAGTTTGCCAATTTTAATCTCAATGCTCACGTACCGTTTGGTCCTTTGATGCTAATTGTGCTATTCCGAACTGGCTTGCAACCCAGATCTTGGAAAATGCAAATGCAACGTTAATTTACGGATGCCTGCAGGCGATGGAACTACAAGAAATCGCGTAGCCGGCAAATGGCAAAGCGATTCCAACGCGAATAAATATTAGAAAAAGAAATATTCGATTTTGACATCATAGATAACCCGCTGATAACGGTATCGCTCGTGTTCGCCATCTCTCAGTTAAAACTCCGATGATTTCTTCGCAAAGCTCATACCTTTGCCGCAATGCCCAGTGCAAACTCCGACATCCATGACGGCCTGATGCGGTGTGCCGGAATGCACAAGTTGAACGTAGGATTCCCTTTTGCAAGACGCCTCTGGCGAGCACTCGCACGCGTCGATAGTCTCGATGACGCGGACACCCTGCAACGTCGATACTCTCTCCAATTTCGCGGCCCTCGCTCGACAATGGGATTCCGAAGAGCATTTCTGGAAAAGACGGACGGGAGAAATATTGATGAACAGTCATCGTAGGAAAGAGAATCCCACACTGTGGAAAATCGAGCTCTCGAATGCGATCACGTCAGGAAGAAAGCATTCAACTTTACGCGCCTGTCAGTAAAAGGTTCAATTGAAAAGAAAGTCTTTCTGAATTCGAGGAACGTTTCTCTTTCTCGCGTTTTGCGTCGTTCTGGAGAAGCGTCTCGATAAATTCCGTCCGCGCATAATTCCCAAGGCGCATAATTCCGGATTTAGTGGCTGGACACTCCGGCGCCGTGGTGCGGTGACCTCAACGATTCGACCTTCGAAGGACGCAAAACATATCGCGGCTCTCTCGCGCATTTCGCGTGCAACGCCTCCTTCGCGCCGCCGGGGGGCCCGGCAGCGTGGCTGCTGTAAAACTCGTACACCACCGATCGGATTGCGTCACGTGACGAAAATAGCCCTCTCCCGGCCAAAGATCCGGGAAGATATACGGGAAGGACGGGTGTTTGTCTTCGGGGAATCTTCCCTACGAGGCCCGAAACCGCTTCTTCTCGGCGCGGGGAGGCCCGCCGGCTTTATGCTAAAAACGAAGTTCGAAGTCGTTTGTAACTATTTATACACGGCGGGCACGGCGTAGTTTTGCGATACTTGAAACAAAATGCCGTTGCGCCGGGTACACCAAAGGTACCTGCGCGCCGTTCATGTCATCCACCGCGCTCGATTACCCGACTCCGAGGCTCCTCCGGATTGTTAGCGGTGATTGAAATAATCGAAACAACTTGTTATCACGATAGTCAAAGCTTGTTCGCTGAGCTCTGGAAATTCAAGGGACAATTTATGACAAGCGTCGAGTTAATTGCTCGCAAACTCAACTCGCACGAGGTTTACGCCAACAAAGTCCTTGCTTCGAGAGCTGTACATTCACCAATTGCGAATTACGATTATAATTATTAACGATGATAAGGGTCATTACGCAGCTCGCAATATTAATTCCTCCGCCTTAGGCCGAGCGCGATCGTCGTCGGGACGATCGGACGAGAAGTTTTGCATTCCGCGCAAGCTGCGCGCACCCACGAAAGTTACAAATTATCGGCGAGGATAGGGGATATTCGGTAGGTGCCGTGTATTATTCGCCGTAAAAGTCGCGAAGATCGTACGATCGCGCGATCGCCTGGCGTGGCCGCATTCCAACTCGCGATTGGTTGATCCTGCGCCTCATAAATCTGCACGACGTTCCAACCTTTTTCGCCCTTCGCGTAGCCCTCGGTTACACACGCTCACTCCTCCTGCGATCCGCGGCGATGCTGCGTCGTCTCGCCGAAATACTTGAGCGAGCAATCGGCCGTCGTAAAAAATAGAATTTCCACCTTCAACCTTTCTTCCGAGCGACCCGCCCCTTTCCCTCGGTCGGGTCCGACCTCTTGAATGTCCCATTATCGAGAAACCATTTCCACTTTTGCCAAATTTTATCGCGCTTTAATCGAGATACGGCGCGAACGAGCCCGTCATTCGTCATAAACACCGCTGATATTCATTTCGCGTCGACTTTATTGTAATCTTCGAGGACAAAATCTCGATATCGTTCGAATCTTTCGATCTGATTACTAGAATATGCAATTTTGCTTGCCATGTCTTGTGTCCACGATGATGTCTATAATGAACGTAGATATAATGAAACGCTTAAATTTAAGTTAAAGAGTTAAAAACAATCGCTTGATTGTAAAGATTTGTATACATAAAGAAGATAAGAAGAATATAAGAGGCCCTTGAAAATACTACAAATGTTAGTAATTTTGCAGTAACTTTTTAATTTTAATTTGTAGTAATTTTTATATCCGGCCGATAACTCGGACCTATCATCGTACACACAAATCCTTACAGTCATGTGATTTTTTTCTAATTCTTTAAATAAATTTTAGTGCTTCATTATATCCACGTTATCGTGATTATTATTACCGTACTATTTCTTGCATATTTTTATTTTTTTTTGTATGCTGCAATGATTTTTTTTCTTTTTCTTGCCAATAATTGTATTCACCTGTTCGCTTCGATGTTCTTTCTTTTCTCTTTTTACATTTAATAATTTTATTTTCTTCTTCTTTTATTCACACTATTTGTGTGAAATAGACTTATTTTCTGTTAACAACAACAATAAATAACAACAAGTCTCGAAACAGTTTAAAATTAAGCGAAATTTCGTTATTTTATATAATTATATATCGGAATGGGCTCGCCTCCTTTAAACATTAAACGCTAATATCTTTCTTACAAAGAAGAGCAGGCTTATCCTTAGCCACGTAATACCTCGATAATATTTTCACGACACTTTGTTGAAATGATAATCAAATCAATTCTTGGAAGACTTATCAAAGTCACTTTTCACGTAATTACCTGTCATCGCTGACTGTTTGATTGGATATTAATAATAATATAAATAGCTCCGCATATCAAAATATGATAAGTTAGTATGCCTGTTCGGCAAATTACCCTCATTTAAATTCGACAAAACTTGAAGAAGTAGCAACGATAGCAGCAGCATCGGCAGCATCATCATCAGCAGTAGCAGCAGAAGCAGTGACGCGCTTTTTATCGTATACCGTTGCACAAGGGCGAAGATCAGCCCACGATGTTTTTGCACCAGGTGCGTCCTGCGAGCATGAGTCACAGATTACGCGTGGTCACGCGGGTTCTGTACTGCATTCCTGCCGAACAATCCGGAGAACACTCGCGTTCTGGGTTCAACGTTTGATCGCTGCTGCTGCTGCTGCTACTGGCTGGTGTTGGGAGTTATTTCATTACATAGTCATATCCTTGTACGTTGAACTACATTCGTAGGACTTCGGATATGCGCGATTCGATTCATCTTCACGAAAGAAATCGAAATTGAAATCGAGAGTTCGATTTGAGAAGAAATATCTTATCGATTAGACTCACTCCATCTCTAGTATGCTTTTACGATTACAAGACGATATGTGATCCAACGGTAAAGGTAACTTTTTGACTTGACATTCTTGTTGAGGAATAATCGAGCCTAGGATAACGAGCAAAACGAGGAAAAATCGCGAGAACTTACCTGCACCGCTGGTCGACTTGCGTCCCCGGGATCGTCTGACACATGTCGCGGGCACAATTTTCGACAATGCCCGGCGTCGATCTGAATAATTTCCCCGGATATCCCTGAAAACAAAATTATTCATTTCATATACGTCTCATTGTTACAAAATAAAGCGCACACTGAAAAAAAAGATTTGGAGACAATTACAAATTTAGTTAATAATTTCAACTAAATTATTTGGTTACTTAAGCAAATTATTTAGTACCATATACTATATATAGTAATAGTACAGTATATATAGGTACTAAATTATTTTGTTGCAGTAACTAAACAATTTAGTCGGAACTCTTTAACTAAATTTTGTTAATTGTTACTAAATCCTTTCGTCAGTACAAGTAGGCGACAGAAAGTGTATCTCTGTGAAACAAACGCATGGAAAACGAAACTTTATAAGTAGATCATACGCGAAATGTAGAATAAAATTACAATGCAAAAATGATGCGCTTGATATCAAGAAAGGGCATGCAGCCAACATTTTCAATGCAAAACATCCTTCAAGAGTCGTCTCATTCGGGACAGTTGGAACATTGTAGAAACGAAAAAGGGACGGAAAGTGACGTGCCGCTAGATTTATGAGATATATAGAATTAGAGAAGGCGCCAGGCGAGTCCTAAGAAGGGGTGGTGCCGCAGGGTGGGCGAGTACAACTCTGCTATTTTTGGCGTGAACGCGTGGGACTCGGAATGCGGGAGTACGTCGGTGTGATTCACGTTTTCTCGTGTCCTCGCGCATATACGCGACTTTGCCACCTTTCCTTTTTTTCCCGCCAACTCGCGTTGCAAATATTTTCGCGCGACGGACGCGCTACGAACGATAGGACCGACGCGTGTCGCTGTTCGACGGCAGGTAGGAAGAAACCGTTTTTACCACACGCTAAAACTGCATTAATATTTGTGTGAATGTAAATAAAATAAACATAGTTCCTTAAAAAATAATTTGTTTATCTAAAAATTTTGGTATAAAAGATACAAAATATATATTGTAATAAACACATATTTATTATCAATACTGTTATATTAATTAATTTATTATATATAATTATATTACGAGAATTATATACATGTTTTTTTATTATTATAAATATATATATCTCTTGTTACTTGAGAGAGGCTAACTCTTTAGTTTCTACCCTACGTGACCGTTTGGATTGTTCTAGGTAGACATATGGTGCTTTAATGGAAGTATTAATTACGACTAAAACATTCAGCTGTTCGATAGGGCGAGATCTTCTTCTTAGTAGACGGTCAAAGGTCACGCTGTTCAATTGAAGGCAATAAGTCGACAGGATGAATCAACCCAGCCGACGCGCGATGTGAAATCTCTACCCGAATCGTTATTAGAGGAATCTTTCGCCTTGTGCGTACGTGATATGTTGCACGCGTACGTTGCCGGATCGCAAATCGGATGAATCTGTCTATGACACGTATATAACCGGATGTTCCGTCCCCTCTGTCGGGTCACATTAATGTCCATTGATTAAGCACAGAGTATTAGTTTGCGATAGAGCGCAGGAACAAAAGAAATAACAATTAACGAGCATATATCTTCTCGAAATTTTCTTTTTTCGAATGTCGCGCATTTCTTCGTTTTGAACTTTAAATACTGAATCAAGGAACGGAATATTGTCTTATTTATATTTTTTATCAGGACTTAAATGGGAAATTTTTCCTTTATCTTAGGATATTTTTTTCCCCGACATGAAATATGTACGAAATTTATTTTAAAGATTTGTCAAGTATTCAAATTAGGCAATAATTCAATTTTAATATCGTGAAAATATTTTTGGTCAAATTATTCCCATTTATTGATATACATGTTTTTAATTTAATATTTCTTAACGAGTTGTATCGAGAAATAATCAACGTTTCACACACTCACCGTATCCAACGTCGATCATCTTCTCGTGCCGGGCACAGCACGTGTGTTGTCGCGGTTCTTCTGAGTGCACCTTTCTTTCGCTGTCCGATTCCTTTTCGCAGAAAGCTGAATAACAAACGAGAAATGATAATTGATAAATGTATCTAGATTCAATTCGTATTGAGTGGATAGCCCAAAATAAGGGTCGAGAGCGGATTAATTTCGATGAACACACATACACACGCCACTTTTTATTTGAATCCGAAGGAAGAAGAAATGAATATTGCGAAAATTTACAATACAATAACAATCTTCTCTGTTCTGAAATTAATTCCTCCATTTGACAAAATTACAACTTTTGCTACATTCAAAAAGAGAATAGTTCTGGACACACAGTGCGCTATGAATCCATAGATCATTGGAAGACGGATATGATTGATTGATTATTTCTCACGTACAATCTAGCATTTATCACTATCTACACCATTTAGACAACCATTTGGACGAAAGGCGAGTAAATAGGGGAAAATAAATGAAGGAATGAAGAGGGGTGCTGCGAAGTTACCTAATCGCAAATTAGCCAGGCAAACTACGGCGAAGCCGACGAGGACGGCCCGCCACCCCCTTGTATTTTGCATACGCATCTGATACCGAGCGAGCGGTGAACAGACGTCTTTCGCAATTAATGTAACACGTGTCGGAAACGCCAAGGGATTGCGTCGCTGTCGGAAAGCGATTTTTTACAACGCAGATGGCATACGAGTGATCGAACGATATCCGCGTTGAATATTTCTTCGCGACGATTACCACCTCTCTCTCTCTATCTTTCCCTTTTTCACGGTGTCATCGCGGCTACGACTAGAAGTTAATTATTCGATGCTCTCTTCTGAATCGCGCGTGCAGTGGACTGGTAGACGCGGTGTAGCTTGTGCGAGATCGCAAAGAGATCGATCTGCCCACGCGGCTTGCGATCTGCGAGAAGACTGGCCGTCTGCCGTAGCCGCTCGATCTCGCCGGAGAGACGTCCGGCTGACAGGCGGATCTCTATTAATCTCGTTTGGTACAGGCCGTCCATCACTCGCCGAGCCGGTCGGTCGCATCGCTCGACTTTACGTTCGACGAGTCCGCGCCACCCGTTCCGATTGGCCACTCGCGGGACTTTTTACCTTTCATCCCGGACGGACAGTAGAAGCAGATGGACGTTCACACGTGGACGAGCGAGCTTGTCAATATTTGTCAATGCGAACCTCCGTTTCTCGGAAATGTTTTGTCTCCTAAACAAGCCGGTGTGTTTACCAGATAGCTAGTCGTAGGAATTTCGATCTCGCGCTCGAATCAACCCTAGCCGCAACGACGGATTGAAGAGTTTTGCTTCTTGCTTGAAACGAATGGTGGAAGCGAAGAACTGGTACTGCTCGGTGAGAAAACTGGAGAAGGACGATCATGAGCGCGACAAATTTTATTTTTTTAATGCGCTCTATCGATATTCACAAGGTATATCGCGAAATAGAATGCCAGGATGAAAAAACGATATCGGTAGGGGTGTCTCGTATTTTTGCGATACACCGTCGCTCGACGTCGTTCGTTCGATGCGAAAAATTCTATTTCGCCTCAAACGCGTTCGTCCGGTAGCACCTTTCATGCCCACGTATTCGCGCGCGTCGTGGAATCCGGGAGCCAGGGGAAAGAAGGCAAAAAAGAGCCGACTATTCATTCTCCTGCGTACCTCCCGCGTTTTTTTGCCATACCAACATGGGGAAGCGCGGCGGGGTGTTCGTCCGGCTGCATCATCGCCTCTGATTACACCGGGAGGTCTCTCGTCCCTGCCTGCCCTCCGCGCTCGTTAACACACTCCATTGCTACTGCCAAGATCGTTGAGTCCGAGAGAGGTCATTATCATTACTCATAAATTACCGCGCGCGAATCTCAATTTCGCCCCGAGCTGCAACCTGCGGGAACGTTATTTGACAGAACGTTCAGTGGCGTACTTAAGGGGAGCGCGAAACGGACAGCCCTACCGGATGACAGTTACACGAGGGAAAGAGAGAGAGAGAGGGAAGAAAGAAGGAAAACCGCATTTATCTTGGGTTAAGCTCTTCAAAACAAAAGAATATGCAAGTGAATATGCATATAAATAGACGCAGTAAGACTAATAAGAAAAAATATAATGTAAAAAGATAAAAATATAACACTCCGATGACTAAGCTTGGTTTCTGAGAATTACACGTATTGGATTTACCAAGAAGAGCCTCATCGCCAATGATTGAATAGCTTTTCTTTAAATAAATTGTGACTCGAATTTTCAAACAAAGCTTTTGATGAAGAACTACGTGGAAAGACAGTAATATGTTGAAAGAAGGACATGCAAGAAACTTCTGAGCAACACAAATTGGTTGGCTAACCGTTTACTAACGTTGGGCAAAACGTTGGGCAATGATTAGCCAATCAATTTGCTATTCGGTTCGTAATGCAAAATCGAATTTTGACGTAAAAAGTAAATCTGAGAGAAAAAGAAAGGTAGAGTGGACGATTTAAATTTAAAACAGATTAAAAATAAATTAGAGTGCAAAAAATGGTAAGAAGAAAGTATCTTAAATATAATATCTTCCGGTTCATTCGTAGTAGTTGAATTTGATATTTCACATCATGGTAAGATAAGGTTCAAATTAAGAAGTTTCATATAGGAAATTTAAAATATCAGTACGAAAGTCAAGAGGTTACAAAAGCAAATGAGAAGAATGGAAAGCATGAGTCAGATACTGATGACGGGTACTCCAAACATAATCCAAGGATCCGAATCTCCCGCCTGTAGTGGGATGTTTCCATCTTTATTTTAGTGATGAACTTTGTTCAGAAATATATTTCTGTCATGTATTTTACCAATACACAAGTATACACAATATATTTCTGTAATATATTTTACCAATACACAAGTTTTTGAATCAAATAAAAGTTTCGTTAAATCGATTTATAGGGAAACATTGCATTTTAATTCTCCTAGAAATTGTTCCTAAATTAATTTTTACAACTATTTTCTGAAATAATTGAAGCATTTGAAAATTAAACATAAATATTTCTAATCGCAGACGTGTCGATACAAGCAAAATTGAACGATCACTGTCATAACGTAATCTTCGTGCACATTTCATGAAAACAAATTTACCCAAAAAGATTCCATAAACATTGTTACAATAAAAATATGACAACACTTGTAATGCATCCGTTCTAAGTTTTCTTCCAAATCGCATTAATTTAGCAACTTTTACTGAAAGATATCAATATGTAATCGCGATTTTACTTACAATTAATTCATGTATTAAGATTTTCCCTTTAATAATATGCATGAGATAAAAGAGTGACAAAGTTTAAATAGGTTATAGCTTATAGGTTATTGGTTGGTAGAGTTATCTTTGAATTTAAACGAATACTGCAATCGATTGTCGAACCCGAGACAAATCGATTATCGAAATCGAGACAATTGAGTTCAGTCGATTCACGCCAATCGCAACTGCTATCGATTGTCTGTGAATGAAGGTTAGTCGAACAGGTGTATTCGATACACATGCGCGAAGAGGGGGATTATCTGATAACACTGACCCAACTATGCTTTCTTCTTATTAGTCTGTTGAAAATTGAGAGGTTATGATTAAATTCAACTTTCAATTTTCTTCAGGTAGTGCAGAATATTGCTATCTGTTTACAATTTTTGCAATAATGCTTAAGAGGGAAAATTTAACAAATAATTGTTGAATAAAGAAAAATCTTTCTTTTTATAAAACAAGTAAAAATGTAAAAAATCAAAATCTAAATTTTGATGATTTTACATAGAAACAATTGTAGAATGAAGGATGAAAATGCTATTTGTATAATATAATATACTTTTGCAGGATGTCTTCTAAATCGAGAAAAAGTTTATCAGCATGGTCGCAATGCGACAAATGTCAAAGCATTTTGACACAAATAGGTTTACCATTGCATGAAAAGGATTGTCCACCTTGCACGGAAAATACAGAAAGAGAATATTCTTTTATTCGTGATGGAGTTTTGTACAGTACTGTACAACTTTATCAACCCCAAGGTATGACGTCTAATTTATATAATATTTGTATGCATATAAATAAATATATATTTTTAGTCAATTATATATTTTACAGAATTACCTAAAAATATATCTGAAAAGGCATCGAATGATATGGTGTTTATATCAATATCTGCTATGCAATTATGCAATATTGCAATTGGTGATACAGTTATTATTGAGATTAACAATGTCAAGATTGTTAAGACAGCTTTCCCAACAAATGACACGAATTTAACAAGTGTCTCTTTAACTAAACAAGGTATCTGATACATTTATTTTCTGCATATTTTTATTTTTTCTATATATTTCTATATATTTAATTAATTCCATTAACTTTATCTATTTATTTACTTGTACTATTAATGTTGTTTTTATCATTTTCAGTTGTTGACTTAGATAATCTAAATGGACCAATGAAAGTATATTTGTTGGAAGATGATGTTCATATCGCTAAGGAGATTATACTCAAACAACTGAGTAAACGTTTGATATGTGAAAATATAGCTGTAGAAGTTGATATTATTCTGAAATGTTTCAATGAGCATAAAATATTCACTCTTGGTAACAAAATAATAATACCATTTTATGGGAAAAAGTTAATATATGAGATTGTACAAATTAAAACAGAAGATGGAAAAGAAGTACAGATCAAAGCAACCGATGAAAATGATCTGTCGATAGCTTTAGAGAGGATAAATCTGGAAACTAAATCCTCAACAATAGCTTATTTTAAAGCGCTATATTCAACCAAATATATGATACTTCCAAAGAAGAACGATAAAGGTGAAGAAAGTGTTTCAAAGAAAGCATATAAAATAGAAGATATAGGAGGATACGACGCCCTTATATCCGATATAAAAGATGTAGTACAAATAGGTATTGGTAAATACAAAAGCGTGAAAAATTTCGGTGCCAACAAAGGAGTATTATTACATGGTCCCGCTGGTGTTGGCAAATCCCTAATAGCTAACGCCATAATATCAGAATGTAATGCGAAGACATTCATTGTTTACAGTTCGGATATCTACAGCAAGTCTATTGGCGAAATGGAAAACAGACTCAAAGAGATTTGTAGCAAAGCAATGTCGGCCGCCCCCAGCATAATACTATTAGAAGACTTGGACAGTTTATGTCCCATGAAAAACAGCAACACTACGGATCACGAGAGAAGAATTCTTGCGCAGTTAACGACACTGTTCGACGATCTACATAGCACAAAGAGCGACGTATTGGTAATGGCTACAACTTCGAAACTATATTCCATAGACGGTTCTCTAAGGAGGCCCGGCAGAATAGACGTAGAATTTGAAATTTATGTACCGACTCCGAACATGCGGCTGGAAATATTGACGAAATTAATTTCGAAGATTCCCAGTACGCTTTCGAGACAGGATATACAAGTCCTTTCGTTAAATACTCATGGCTTTGTTGGCGCGGATTTACATGGTTTGTGCTCCAAAGCGATATTCAATGCGGTGAGACGCCAAGAGAAAAATGCCCTTTCAGAGGAGAACTCTGAAGAGAAAGAATGTGTACCTTTTGATATTGAGCCAATAGTGACGATGGAAGATTTTATTTGCGCTTTGACTACAACGAAACCATCGGCTATGAAGGAAGTTTTGGTGGAGGTACCAAATGTAAGATGGTCGGATATCGGCGGGCAGAAGGATTTGAAACTAAAATTGAAACAAGCTGTCGAATGGCCGCTGAAGTTCCCCGATGCATTTAGGAAAATGGGCATCATGCCTCCGAAAGGTGTTTTGATGTACGGACCACCAGGATGCTCGAAAACTATGATCGCGAAAGCTCTTGCCACTGAAAGCAAAGTGAATTTCCTGAATATCAAGGTAATTCGTCCGAAGGAATACTTGCGTTTGCATATATCACGCGTTTGTGTGTATATCACGGGACTTGTTTGCAGGGTCCGGAATTGTTCTCGAAGTGGGTCGGCGAATCTGAGAGGGCCGTGAGAGAAGTTTTCCGAAGGGCAAGGCAAGTAGCACCGTCTATCGTGTTTATCGACGAGATAGATGCATTAGGAGGCGAGAGAAGCTCATCCTCGGGCGGTAGCGGTAGCAATGTACAGGAACGAGTACTGGCTCAATTACTGATCGAACTCGATGGCATTATTGCTTTGGGAAGCGTTACGCTAGTAGCGGCTACTAATCGACCGGATAAAATTGACAAGGTAATTTCTCATATATTGTCTACCCTCGAAGTGTACCTGGATATAGCTTTGTGAAACGCAAAATTAACTCCAAGAACCAGTGTCTTGGCTTTATAGATTTTTCGGGGAAAAGAAAGATAGAGTTAAAATTCTATTCTAACAATATTGGATTCTATCTAATTTTGATTAAATTATGATCAGTTTGGTAGTACAGAAAACATTTTAATTTTTTCAGGCACTTCTCCGACCTGGACGATTAGATCGCATTATATATGTTGGTCTGCCGGACGAGGAGACCAGACAAGAAATATTCGGCATAAAATTGCAAAAGATGCCGGTTGCAGAAGAGATAAACGTTGCAGATTTGGTTTGCTTGACGGAAGGCTACACCGGTGCAGAAATTCACGCGATATGTCATGAGGCTGCTATGAAAGCACTGGAGGAAAATATTGACGCTGAAATAGTTAAGAAAGAACATTTCAGAGCCGCATTGGCACTTGTTACTCCTAGGACGCCTGTCTCACTGATCAAACTTTATGAAGATTATAAAAATAATATTTTATGATAGAAGGAGTATGAATGAATGTATTCTTATTGTCTAACAATAAAAGTATTAAAAATGTGTTAAGTTTCAGTTTTCTCATACTTTCTGTATTGATTTTTTCTGTCCTTTTGGGCGAATTATTACACTGGTGCAAAAGAAACGTGCACTAAGGTGTCGATTTTAGCGGAAATGACGTCGCAAGCGTGTTCTTATGCTGGCTACATATTACTTTCTATACCCAATAGAAAAAGTTATTTCTTAGGGACTTTAGGTACAGAAATTCTGTTTCTAGAAAACAAATTCTCCTATTGGATATTATACACTGGATTCGCTGTAGTGCAGTGCGCGTACACGAGAAAGAATCCTATTTAACAACACCACACCGTAGAATCGCGTCATAGCTCGAAGCACATCATCGTGTTAGTCAACTTGTATTCTTATCTGCGTATTGATTTGTTCTGCAACGTACAAGAGATCTCGTAAAATATTTACGTGTTCACTGTTTAATATTGTTTATATAGGCGCAAACTGTAGTCATGGCGGACGTTTTGGATATTGACAACGCTGAGGAGTTCGAAGTTGACGATGAAGGCGATCGTAAGTCTCGTTATTCAAGTTTCCTCAAGTCCGGTCAATTTTATGTTACATAACCTCAAATTTAAGTTTTGGTTTAATGTACTCTATTTGTTAGCATTTTTTGTAATACAACAACTAAACTAATCGGACTTGTGCTTTTAGAGGGTATCGCTCGTCTTAAAGAGAAGGCAAAGAGAAGGAAAGGTAGAGGCCATGGTGCTGAATTAGTATCCACAAGAGATGATGTGGGTCATTATGAATCCATGAATATGGTTGAAGAAGATGATAATGAACCTGGCCCACAAAGATGTAAGTTTGTGTTATTGTAATTATATTAGTTGATTTATATATATATGTACAATTATCCCCTTTTGTTTGAGTCCTACAATAAGCTGTATGTCAGATGTTGGAACACAGCTGAACATTTAATGAAAAAATTTATTTGAAAGTGAGTTTTCATTGAACCATCGACTGCGTTTTGACATCTGACAGCAACATATGACATATGGTAGAGCAAGTCTGATTATTCTTATATTGCAAACTTGTTATAATTTATATCCCTCATATATTTGTAGCTGTCGAAGGATGGATTTTGTTCATAAATTCTGTACATGAAGAAGCACAAGAGGATGACATTCAGGACAAGTTTTCTGAGTTTGGCCAGATCAAAAATTTGCATTTAAATTTGGACAGAAGGACAGGGTTTTTGAAAGGTTATGCATTGGTGGAATACGAAACTTTTAAGGAAGCCCAAGCTGCAAAAGAAGCTTTGAACGGCACAGAGATTTTGGGACAAGCTATCTCTGTTGATTGGTGTTTTGTAAAAGGACCAAAGAAGTGAGTAATACTGTAGCATTACAGCCATAGTAGTAATTTTAAATTGCTATTTAAATCATATTGTTTATATTAATATTTGATATATCCATTTTTATAGAATCAGAAAAAGGAGTCACAGAAGGCGATGAGAGTCATGCAAAATATATTCATAATTATAATATATTATGTCTGACTAATTCTATATAAGATAAACTTTTATATTTGATAAATCTGTAAATCCTCCAAGGTAATAGAAACTTTTCCCATAAAAGTTGTTTTTTGTGTTTAGCTATTAAAATGTAAGAATTTCATATAGATAATAATCAATAAATAAATGAATCATGTATTTGCTGTCTATTGTACTTACAAAAATATTAACTATTCCTGCCAATATTATTACTTGATTTGTTCATGTTGTCTATTATTCATCCAGCAATATTTTTCATATAATTTTCGTTCATTATTGCATTCTACAAATCCGTAAGAAATGAATTAAACTTTATTCCATAATGATGTGTGTGGAACATCTTGTATATTTTCAATATCTTGGTCTTTTTCTGTAACACATAATATTCAATACATGTAAGATTCTTTACATAAATTATGAAAGATAACATTTCAGTACATGTACTTGTAAAAGCATGAAATATAATTATTTTCTGACAGAGTACAAAGGTAATATTCATCAATTTTTTTTCGTATGTGACTAAAAAATTATCCAGCTGTATGTTATACATATGATGTGTAATATTTGTTGAAAAATTAAAAGAAATACATGAATAATATATATATTTATTATACAAAAGTACCTTATTAAATAAGTGACGTAATGAAGCATATTAGGCATAATAGTTTAAGTTTGCTTTCTTCTTTGCTTGAACCTCATTGATAGCTTCCATCAAATCTTCGTGAGTAACTGCCGTTGCATTACGTCGTAACGCTATCATACCCTGTGATCACATTACATTATAATTATGAATATTTGATATAATACATTATAATTATTACAATAATTTACTTGTAATTTTGATCAATTTAATTGGTTATAAATAGGACAATGAGTGGAGGAACTTGACTTCTAGACGATAAAACCAATAATTGTGAAAAACTTGGTAGAAATAAAATCTTTGAATTAAAATAACTTTATCTCGTTGAATGCTTCATATCACTGTCTCATTTAAGATCATGATTGACTCTAAACTGGTCTTATTTAAATATGTGATCGTACCGCCTCTACGCAAACAGCTTTGCATTGTGCTCCGTTAAAATCGTCCGTGGATCTGGACAATTCCTCGAAATTCACATCGGGCGACATGTTCATCTTGCGTGAGTGAATCTGCATGATACGTGCTCTGGCCTCCTCGTTGGGATGCGGGAACTCAATTTTCCGGTCCAATCGCCCGGATCTCAGCAGAGCCGGATCCAAAATGTCCACTCTGTTCGTGGCGGCGATAACTTTGATGTCGGCGGTTGAGCTGAAGCCGTCCAATTGATTCAACAGCTCTAACATAGTACGCTGTACTTCTCTGTCGCCAGCCTTCTCTGAATCAAACCGTTTCGTTCCGATAGCATCAAGCTCATCAATGAATATTATAGCTGGCGCTTTTTCCTTGGCTAATGAGAACGCATCTCTGACCAATTTCGCTCCGTCACCGATGAACATCTGTACTAATTGCGGGCCGGCAAGTTTCAGGAAGGTGGATTTCGTTTGAGCGGCGCATGCTCTAGCTAACAAAGTTTTTCCGGTTCCAGGCGGACCGTAAAGTAAGACACCTTTTGGCGGCTGAATCCCTAGATTTTCGAATTTCTCTTTGTGCGTCATGGGCAGCACGACTGCTTCGATCAGCTCTTGAATCTGCTTATCCAGTCCACCGATGTCGGAATATTGCTCTGTTGGACGTTCGTCTACCTCCATAGCTTTGACTCTGGCATCGTATTCGGCCGGCAGAGTCTCTAGCACTAGATAACTATCTTTATTAACGCCAACCAAATCACCTGGCTTCAACGCCTCGGCATCGACCAGACCGATTACAGGGAGAAAGTAAGTTTGACGTGTAGAAGTTTTTATAACTGCACACTTGCCCTTACGTTGCGCGTCTAGATCGACAACTGCACCGTCTTCTTCTCCCATATCCTGTGGATCGACATCTAACAGCTCGATGACATTGGATACCAGATATGGTAGAGTCTTGTTTACTTTGATTTTCTCAGTGTTCTCTTTGATCTTGTCATTCTGAGCTTGTAACTCATGCGTTATTCGCATCACTTCGCTCTTCATGATCTTGATTTCATTATCCAGGAGCCGTGTGCGCGACACGATCTCATCAGTAGACATTCGTAGAACGTCTTCCCCTAGAGTCTCCTGTGAAAGAAAGGGCATAATCCTTTTATTGCAAAATCCTATTTTGTAGCAAAAGTTTAAGAATCAACTGTTTGTTTAAAAGTATAGGTAGATGATTATCTACGAGAATTCTTATATCTTAACTGCATATGAAGATCATTCTTCTTAGATCAGTAGCAGTATTTATTCATACAATATTTTTAATTAGTATTTCTTAGTATTAGTTTAGTATTTAAAATTTATTATACTCAGCTTTAGCTTTAAAACTCTATCTCAAAATTACTTATATAATCTAGATATAATTAAAACTATCAAATATATATACACATAATATATATATATATATGTGTGTATGTGTGTGTGTAATCCATACACAATAACTAAATTAAATTAAATGTTCAAAAATGGAATAACATTTAAATCTTATTTCTTATAATTTTGAGATTATATACAGCTGATAAAATAAAACATATCACACAAGAAAATTTAAATTAATATATTTCTCCTTGTATCTTGAGATTTGAATATAGAATGAAAAATGTTAATGTAATTATTTATTATTGATGAAATAAATTCTTATATTCAGTTGTACTGAGAAAAGATAAATTAATTCAACAGCTTGGAGTAACGATATACAATTTATAAATATCTTTGATCTCAAAACAAAGTATAAGAAGCATATATTTAAATATATAGTTTAGTCTTATATTTCTTGAATGTTATAAACGCAATAAATGTTTCCTTATTTTTTATATTTTATGTAAAAAGAAAGTTGAGTTTTTGGGGGAGATGGAAAATTAAAATTCTATGAGAAAAGGGTAAAAAATGCAGCAAAGAAGACCATCAAACAGAAAAGGTCGGGAAAAACAAGAATGAGATTGTAATTAACAAAGATTTGCGTTAAACGTCTGTAAGATATATCACAGTACCGTGCGTTCATCTAGATGTGCTTGTCATTCGCTACCATAACCTACAAGACATAAAATTGCTCTTACTTCTCCGTCTTCCCAAATCGATTTGTCTTCTAACGTAGCCATTTGGAAATGCTTCAGTAAGGTTCTTCCCAGAAAGCCGGTTGTTCCTACTTGAACGCAAAATCCCTTAAAGCCGTTGCACTTATCTGGCAATTTCTCCAAAATTTGCTGATCGCCAAGTGACACCAACGCAGTACGCGAAGTTCGAGATTATACCGACCTATCGTTGACTGCTCTCAATCGCAGTACAGTGTAACTCGTACAGATGACAGTGCTTGTTGCATTCCGATCTGAATGCTGGTAATACGATGAGAGACCGAGTAATAATATAAAAATAATTACGTTGAAATTCAAAGGTGGACATAAATACATAATGAGTATTTCGAAAATGCGATTTCTCGAGAGTATCGAAAGATTCGTGTTTTTATTGTGATAAAATCGTTAATATTTCGGACATCGATGATCGCGAGCATTTTACGCCTGAAATTTCGGATTCGAATTTGCGCAATCTTGAACAAATAAACGTATTACGTGATTGGTCGGCTCGCTGCTTCGAGTATCTCAATCGCTACAATGTTCACACAGCTGTGGTCAGTTATGGCGCGGGTCGTAGAGTAGCGTGCGGGTGTGAAGAGGCTACTCGAGTTATTTCTCGTGATTTTGCCTCGCGGTAGTCGAGTCTCGCGTCTCAATCATCGTCACCGGGAGTGTCGAGAGTGAGTTTCGTGCGTGTATTACGGCGGAGTGCCGTTAAATAACCGCGGGAGGTAAATATCCCGCGGAGCGGTCGCCGAGCAAAGTTTCGCGTCACACAAGCACAGCAGCTCGGGCTTTGCACCGCTGTGTTCCACGCTTCCGATTCACTCGCGTACGAATTATCGTTGGACATGGCAGAAGGTATGGCATTCGTTGAATATTTGCTGAAAGTGGATATTGTTCGTCGGTGGGAGTACCGAATGAAATTTCGCAAGGTTTTTTTCTATCATGGCGTACTTCTCGGACCGTTAGATTTTAAATGAAACGTCGTGATTGGTCGATATGTGTAGTACAGCACACTGATTTACCTACATATTGGAAATCGCGACCGTAACGCAACGGATTGCAATATGTCGTATGCGAATTCGTCGAAGAGCCGTTCTCGCGTATTTTCCGCAATTTCGACTCGCCGAGAGTGAATGTCTCCGGCTTGTGACATTGTCGCAGGGATTAACGAAAGTAAATCTCGTGCGTTCATCACGGCGAAGTGTCGTTAAGTAGCCGTTGAAAGTGAATGTCTCGCGGAACCGGGCCGTCGGGAATGAAGTTTCGGGCGTTCCCCGCGTAATGGCAGTTCGGCCATTTTCAAATCGTTGCCCGAAGGAATCTTGCGCGCGAAATATTGTCGGGAGTGTGGAAGTTAAGTTTCGTGCGTGTGTTGCGAAGAAGTATCGTTGAATGGCGTTGAAGAGAGATGGGTATCGTCGGGGAGAGCTCGTTCTACGTTTGTCGTTTTGCGGCAGTTCGGAGTTGCTTTTAACTCGCCGACGGAAAAATCGGTGAGTACTGATCACACTTGTAACAGAAAATCGAAACGCGAAATTAACCTCTAACTTTGATGAGGTATTACTAACCCTTCGACCATACACTTCTGAAAAGTCGCTCGCAAACAAGATTATATTGACCCTGCGTGTAATTTTTTAAACTCCATATCTAAAACACTGGAAAAAGAAAGAGGTTGACAAAATTCCAGAATAAAAAGTAACTCTTCTACTTTAACGTTTGGTTATGCATTCACAGAAAATCAAATTTTAAATTACTGAAAAAAAATTCGAATTTTCGATGCACTTTTCTTCGTTATAACTTTTCAAACACAACTCACCGTGTCTATTTGGCCCATAATGCGAACACTTTCGCTGCCGATTCCCGCGCCAGTGCGTGATATGGCGTATAACTATTAACACATCCTCACGTAACCGGCAGCTAATGTGTTAAACATCAACAGTAAAATGCACGATTACCGATATTTGGACGATTAGTCTTAACTTTATGATTCACCGTCATTCAAAAGTTTCATAAGCATGCATAAATATTGATAATATGTAGATGTATAATATTACCAGTCAGATATGTATGTTTATATCAGCTGGCCGGGACTGTCGGTAATGTTGGTACTCTCCAATTATCCCGAAGCCCTCCGGGCTCCATTTGGTAGTCACGAGACTTTGCTCAGAACTGACGGTCTTTAATATTACCTCGTCGGTGGTTGCGCACATACGAGGACCGTGCATTTGCGTGCATTGCGGCTTGCATCTCTGGGGGATGCATCTTGGTGTGTTCGGGCTAATCGGGAAGCAACGAGTTCATAACGGATAACTGCAGCTTTCATTAAACTCTATTAACGCTAATTACAGAATAACTGAAGGCTAATTACAGAATAACTACTGCACATAAATAAGCGCATATATAAGCCTGTGGTGAGGTGGTTAATAAATGAGTTAATTTACACAACCGCGCTCGGAACAGCAAATCTTACTTTAGGGACGAGTTAAAATTTCGGTGTGCGCGTTGTTTGCCTATGTAATAATTTTTTATCATATTCTAACTGCAGATGAAACGAAATAATACAGGGCTTCTGTAAACAGGAACGCGATATTTTGCAAAACAAATCCCACGATCGAAGGGAATATCACCTGGATGGTTGTTCGCAAATAAACCATTTTATGCATTTCGATAATTTGCAAATAACCAACGCTTATTTCGATATTTCGATGTATGCCTGCATTGGAGTATAAACACGGTAAATGCATGGAACTTTTTCGTGATAGGCATTTTGAGGATCATCCCACTTAATCGGGTGCATTAATGCTGTTCGGCGCGTTTACATTCAGCATTGAAATTTCTCTGCGATATTTGATGAACGGATCTTTCCGTTTGCACAATAGGAATAGTACGGTTTAAAATATTTTATTTTGAAAATGGAAAGAGAATCGCGTGATCTCTTTGTGCGCACGACGTTAATGCGCGGAACAATATTAAAACATGGACGATCGCACCGTTAAACTAATGGCACATAGAAAAATGTAAATAATAAAAGTAGTAAAAATGTAAAACTTAAACAATAAGGAAATTGACTGATCAATCAGTATATTTTTTTATTTCGAAAACACGATAGAAGTGACGATAAGTTCGGTCTTAAACAGAAATAATTACAATTTCAACAAATTGAAATGCTGCTTCTATTTAAGATCAAACTTATCGTCACTTCTATCTTCATCCGTCTTTTGGAATACATAACCTAAAGAAATACGCTGATAGTTGGTCAATTTCCTTACTGTTTAAGTCTTATTGTTTACATTTTTCCATGTGCTTTTTTTGGTACATATAAAAACGTAAGCAATAAGCAAATTGGCTAATTACAATTATTTTTCGACCGTAAGGAGAACAATCAATTGTATTTTCTTACCGCTTATGTCTTTGTGCCACGCTTATGCTTATGCCTTTAAGCGGCGTCTACAATGAAAATTTCAAGTGTAAGTGTAAGAAAATATAATAATCAAATCGATTACTCTTCTCACATTTGACTATAATGATTAATTTCTCACGGCTTAAGGCCTACGGCTTAAATTCCAAGCGGGTACACTTATACGTACGAATCGTCCTCATACGATTCCGCCGTTGGCGTTGACACGCGAACGCCGCGTTTAGACGAAGGGAGTTCGCGCCACTCGATAAATCGACAATGGCACGACTCTCTTTACGGGTGGTTAATCGTATTCCGTTGAGCGCGATCCCGAATCCGCGTAAAGTATCAGATTTCACCGTGGCTATGAAGTTCGGGACCTTAGGAGAAGTGTCGGGAGTTTTACAACTTTTATCGTGGCCGTGCAATATCTGCGGGGATATATTATCGAATTTCCATACCGACGTCCCGCCCTCCTGAATAAGGTAGGACTTACCCGAGCTTTTATAACCGGCTGTAACTCAAAGCCGTACATTAGCAACCTTCGGAGGCTCTTGGTCATCACTCTCGTTAGCCCTCGATATAATAATGCTTCGACAAAGCGTCACGTAAATACGTTTTCTCGAATTTCCTCGAACAATGCGACGAATTTGACGTCAAACGCATGCATTTCGTTTCACGCCTTCCCGGCGTACGCGATAACCCGACTCTCTGGACGAAAAAAGAGCGCGCTGCTTCAGCTTTTTCGCGATTTACCTTTACGTCAAGGATCGTCCGCGAAGATATTTCAATGTCGACGAGTTTACGCGAACACAAAGACCAACCGAGGAGAGAACGATTATCCCTTGTAGATCTTATAAAAATTTTAGGTACGCTGTATAAGTCTTTTATACATGCTTTACCGCAGGTTTAAGCCCGCCGTTCCGTTAGAGTCCATACTACTTTCATTTTTAAAATATTCTAACTCTGTAGCGTTCGGTCGATCGTAAAGTTTTTCAATTTCACGACTTGGCCTATGCTGTCCATTTTCAAATATAGATTTACGAGTTAAATCGTTGTTACTTCGCGAAGGGTTGGAAATTTTGCGGCACGCGTATATTTTTATCTGTTTATTTGAAGAGACACCGCTTTCAACGTAGATTACTTCAGAATATTGTTAAAATACGGACGAATCGCATGACAACAACAGAAATATCGCACTACGTAAACAAAAACAAAATTAATGCTTTTTTATCGCGGGATTCTAAATATAGTTACATTTTATTAATCAAGCACACACCGCACAATCGCGCGTTATCGATCGCCAAATTCTTTCCAAGTAATCTCGCATTGTCGCGACTTCACGGTTCCGCATGAGCAACGATTCGCAATGAAATCGAGATAGCAAATCGGTTGTTAGACACGCCCTTTTGAAGAGAAAATTGTTAAACTTATTGGAAAAATAATCGAATATGCACCATCCATGGAGGATAAAGAAAATATTGACACAGCGTCGTACACACAATTTTCCAGCAAGCACGTTGCCGACGAAACTGATGACTTCGATATAATTACGGGGGAACGATCAGATTTCACGCGCTAACGAACATCGCGAGTTTTCCAATTTGCTACGCCTCGTATATACTCATAATGTAAAGCGAGGATCATTTCCAAGAAGGTTGGTACGCGGGGTGTGTTGATATAAAAATAATCCGCGTCCTCGTCGCCGTTAACTCGTTGATAAATGCTAACACGTATCGTATCGCGTAATAAATGTTTCCGCCGGTTTCCATAAATTCAGTATAAT